CATGGAAATCTTCACTAAATTAACACAGAAATCGATGTTTAAAGGTCAAATAAGGAAACACATTGGAACATCATATTGTAGGATGCTGTGCATATTGGGATTTGTAGTTTTTGCTGGTAAGGATATACTCGTGCATACACAGCTATAAATGTTAGTTTTATTCATAAATTTTAATTATTGTCTAATAACTGTTACATGTGTTATGTTTGCCATTTTTGTGGACTGTAAGGTTTAGTATGTTTTTAAATGTGTTGATTTTTGTGGACTGTAAGGTTTAGTATGTTTTTAAATGTGTTGATTTTTGTGGACTGTAAGGTTTAGTATGTTTTTAAATGTGTTGATTTTTGTGGACTGTAAGGTTTAGTATGTTTTTAAATGTGTTGATTTTGGGGACTGTAAGGTTTAGTATGTTTTTAAATGTGTTGATATTTGGGGACTGTAAGGTTTAGTATGTTTTTAAATGTGTTGATTTTTGTGGACTGTAAGGTTTAGTATGTTTTTAAATGTGTTGATTTTGTGGACTGTAAGGTTTAGTATGTTTTTAAATGTGTTGATATTTGGGGACTGTAAGGTTTAGTATGTTTTTAAATGTGTTGATTTTTGGGACTGTAAGGTTTAGTATGTTTTTAAATGTGTTGATTTTTGTGGACTGTAAGGTTTAGTATGTTTTTAAATGTGTTGATTTTGGGACTGTAAGGTTTAGTATGTTTTTAAATGTGTTGATTTTTGTGGACTGTAAGGTTTAGTATGTTTTTAAATGTGTTGATTTTGTGGACTGTAAGGTTTAGTATGTTTTTAAATGTGTTGATTTTTGTGGACTGTAAGGTTTAGTATGTTTTTAAATGTGTTGATATTTGGGGACTGTAAGGTTTAGTATGTTTTTAAATGTGTTGATTTTGGGACTGTAAGGTTTAGTATGTTTTTAAATGTGTTGATATTTGGGGACTGTAAGGTTTAGTATGTTTTTAAATGTGTTGATTTTTGTGGACTGTAAGGTTTAGTATGTTTTTAAATGTGTTGATATTTGGGGACTGTAAGGTTTAGTATGTTTTTAAATGTGTTGATTTTGTGGACTGTAAGGTTTAGTATGTTTTTAAATGTGTTGATTTTTGTGGACTGTAAGGTTTAGTATGTTTTTAAATGTGTTGATTTTTGTGGACTGTAAGGTTTAGTATGTTTTTAAATGTGTTGATATTTGGGGACTGTGAGGTTTAGTATGTTTTTAAATGTGTTGATTTTTGTGGACTGTAAGGTTTAGTATGTTTTTAAATGTGTTGATTTTTGTGGACTGTAAGGTTTAGTATGTTTTTAAATGTGTTGATTTTTGTGGACTGTAAGGTTTAGTATGTTTTTAAATGTGTTGATTTTTGTGGACTGTAAGGTTTAGTATGTTTTTAAATGTGTTGATTTTTGTGGACTGTAAGGTTTAGTATGTTTTTAAATGTGTTGATTTTGTGGACTGTAAGGTTTAGTATGTTTTTAAATGTGTTGATATTTGGGGACTGTAAGGTTTAGTATGTTTTTAAATGTGTTGATTTTGGGACTGTAAGGTTTAGTATGTTTTTAAATGTGTTGATATTTGGGGACTGTAAGGTTTAGTATGTTTTTAAATGTGTTGATTTTTGTGGACTGTAAGGTTTAGTATGTTTTTAAATGTGTTGATTTTTGGGGACTGTAAGGTTTAGTATGTTTTTAAATGTGTTGATATTTGGGGACTGTAAGGTTTAGTATGTTTTTAAATGTGTTGATATTTGGGGACTGTAAGGTTTAGTATGTTTTTAAATGTGTTGATTTTTGTGGACTGTAAGGTTTAGTATGTTTTTAAATGTGTTGATTTTTGTGGACTGTAAGGTTTAGTATGTTTTTAAATGTGTTGATATTTGGGGACTGTAAGGTTTAGTATGTTTTTAAATGTGTTGATATTTGGGGACTGTAAGGTTTAGTATGTTTTTAAATGTGTTGATATTTGGGGACTGTAAGGTTTAGTATGTTTTTAAATGTGTTGATTTTTGTGGACTGTAAGGTTTAGTATGTTTTTAAATGTGTTGATTTTTGTGGACTGTAAGGTTTAGTATGTTTTTAAATGTGTTGATTTTGTGGACTGTAAGGTTTAGTATGTTTTTAAATGTGTTGATTTTTGGACTGTAAGGTTTAGTATGTTTTTAAATGTGTTGATTTTGGGACTGTAAGGTTTAGTATGTTTTTAAATGTGTTGATTTTGTGGACTGTAAGGTTTAGTATGTTTTTAAATGTGTTGATTTTTGTGGACTGTAAGGTTTAGTATGTTTTTAAATGTGTTGATATTTGGGGACTGTAAGGTTTAGTATGTTTTTAAATGTGTTGATATTTGGGGACTGTAAGGTTTAGTATGTTTTTAAATGTGTTGTTTATATTTAGGTGAGGCTGAGTAATATTATTTTTTTAAATGTGTTGCACGTCTTCCCTGTTAATGTTAGCTAGCTAGGATAACTCAAAGTAAATCTTCAGACTTTATAAAAGGTCATACCAAGTGGACAACAGTGTGACTGCAGCCAAGCTATGGTCTTTTTCCTCTGGTAAGTGCTTTTGCTCAATTTGTGATTCTCATGTAGTTAATCGCTGTTTTTTCCTATGATATGCTAACTTAACATACCTCAGATGTTAATATTACATTGATTATCATGGGCTCAAGTTAGGTTAAATAGGGTGACTTAACAGTTAGTAACTAATATAGGTTACGTCAGCTTTACATAAGATTATACCTAAACACATTTTGATAACGTTAGCTGTCAATATGCAAAATTGAGCCCATAGTTACAGAGAAGGTTAATGTACACATTTTATTTTGACAGTTGTTACATGTGTTTGCCCAACCTCAGTCCCTCTGTAAATTTGGGGTGTCATCTGTAGTCACCCTTCCGTGTTTTTCACGGTAGTTAATGTTAAGGCTAGCTAACGTTAATCCTCTAAAGTCAGCATCACAGAATCTAAAAGGTTACAGATAAGACTGAAGCGATCAAAATTTAACTTTACAACACATTCAAACATATTATCTACATGGTTTGTAACAGCTAACGTTAAAGTATGGAAATGTTAAATATGATGGTGGTTGGGGTGGATCAACATTAAAATTAACTTTGATGAAGAATATCCAGAAATTGAGATCAATGATTTCTTGATATTCTTGATATTATTGTTTTAATTAATAGCATGTACGTTAATGTTTGAACTGGATAAACGGCCGTTTACTGTGACGTGTTTTCTTTTAAGCCGCTAGCTAACACTTAGCCACCTGATGCTAACGGTACTTCAACTTTACCATTCAGCTAACTCACTGGTGAATTTAACCTGAAGAAACTTTCATCAGTCGATAAATAATTGGGTCGAGTTTCTTATTTTTTGTGTGTCTGTTATTCATGTGTATGACTATGAAAGGCTAAGTTGCCATGTAGCAATCACGGAGCTAATGTTAGATTACAGTAACTTAAGGCTAGTCATTAAATAACTGTAACGGTGACCTGGTTAGAAAAACTGGTTCACTTGGCCGCAGTTTTGAGCGTCTAACTTGCTTCTGTCGCTAATAAAGTTACTAACTCGGGACATTTTGTCATTTCTCTTCTATAAAACAACTAAGGGGAAAATGCTTCCAGAAATGTGTAAAGAAAAGTTAACATTACCACCACAAGTGTAACGTTAGTGGTGTGCTGTGTAAGATAACACCTGGAGTTCAAAGCTGTTTTTAATTAGGGTGATAAGTTACATTTCACTGTAAAGTATTGTGCTTTTTACTACATGCGTTTAACAAGTTTAGTTATAGATACTTTACCGATGAGCAGTTTTAACTTATTTAACAGCCATCTCCCGGCGCCCTCATGTTTACTTGTGTCTCCCAGGAAACCTCCATTATTTGCATCAAAATTTATTATGAATGGTCTTTTGTCTGACGTCACCCAAGTTGCGCAGCTGCTCTCTGCGCAGGCAGACGGGACAGCTAATTTATCTGTTGAAATGTCAGGGCAGGAAGGTGATGCACCTAAAACATCCAAACACAGCTGCAAATTTAAGCAGAGGTGAACTGAAAAGTCCCCTCCGTCTCCCCCTCCACTGAACAAAATTCCATATATCCAAACTTAAACGTTGGCAGATATGCCAGTCTGCATAATGCAAAACATAAAACAACAACAGTACACTAAATGATTTTATTCTTGTAATGAAGTATAGTATTACTTTAACTCAAGTAAAGGCGATGTACTTGTGTCTTTGTGCGGAGGCGTTTAGCCAACATTACATGTTATAATGGAGGAGTATGGAAATTTGTTTGTGGTGCCCATAGCACTGAAAAATTACACTTCAGAAACCAAACAACAACATGTCTTTGCAGGAACAATGTCCCAGTTACTTTGGAATATGTTGTATGTTGTTTTATTTGTGGCTTTTTTCTGTCTCTCCTTCCATTTTCCTCTCTCACATGCCTGCTTTCCCCATTTTTCCCCCTCTTCTCTTCACCTCTTTCCAACCACTTTCTTTTTGACCTCCCTCCAGAGAATACGTACTTGAACTTCATCATGACTGATTGTGAGGGACAGAAGGAGGAGCCGGGGGAGGTGGCGCTCACTGTACCAGAAGAAGTTCTTGACTCCGAGGATCAGGAGAGGCCCTACCGCTACCTGGCCCCTGTGGTTTGGCACTGCTTGAAACAAACAACAAGACCCCGTAACTGGTGTCTGCAAGTGACCAATACAGAATATCCTTTTTTACTGCTAGGAGTCTAAAAATACCAAATATGTATGTGTAATAATAATAATACAAACACATTTTAAGTATTATTACATATCAAAACATTATGTATATTTCTGAGTGTATCTAAAGGATTCACAGGCGTCTTTTTCTCACCTGTCTGGCTGACGCAGATTAAAACTTTACGACACTGTAAAAAAATCGGCCATTATTAATCACATTAGGTTCTTCTAGTATGTAATCCTTCTTTGTTGATTAATTATATGAATGAATGAATATGATCTCTCATCCTATGTGTTATGACCTTAACCTCTTCCTCCACGTGGTTTGATAATGTGTCCATACTGATGGTCCTGCTTAACTGTGTGACTCTGGGCATGTACAAGCCCTGTGAAGAGATGAACATCACTCTAGAGGTTAGTGGGACCCCTGCAGTGTTATTATTGGACACTGGCAGTGGAATCTTTTTATCTTTTACTGAATCTTTAACACCTTTCAAATACACTTAAAAGTGTTTAATCTGCATTTCCTTCCTCTCCATGGTAACACACCTTCCAAAACTGTTTACCTCAGTTTCTATTATTGCAGCGTGACTAGATACCTGTGCTGTGATCTTTCATTGGCTACATTGTGTATCTGTAAATAAGTGGCCATATCACGTTTCATTTGAGACCAGCTAAATTAGCAACATAAAAAGCTAAAGATAATCAAAATGTCTTTCTGTATTAGTAGTAAATAGTATTTTGCCACCGTTGTTGTTTTTTTACTGTATGTTTAATCGTACATTTTTTCTTTTATCTTGGAGGATGTATTCTTTGTTTTCTTTGTGATGGAAATGCTCATCAAGATGGTGGCCCTGGGAATCTTTGGCTATGAAGGAAGTTACTTCAGCAACAACTGGAACAAGTTTGACTTCTTCATCAACTTGGAAAAGTTAGTATCCCACAATGCCTATGGCTCATGCGGACAAATCACTCTTGTTGTTTTTTTCATAGTCACCTTAGGAAAACATTATATTTAATTTCTTTAAGTTTTAAAGACGACATGCTCAATCACAGCAGTACTCTTACTTTCAAACCAGAAACACAGTAAAGTTTGGACAGCTTTGGTCAGACTAGCCTGAAGTTTTGACTGTATTTTAGAAAAGGCATTCCTCAAAAAGGTTTTTGAACCAACAACTTCTACGTTTTTCATATTCAGTGTTAGAATGTGTGTACATTTCATGCAAAATAAGACTCATCTCCCTGTTTCTGTCTGAAACTCTCCCGTCAGGTTGTTGGAGTATTTTTTAGCTTCTCTTGGCATTCGCTTAAGAGTCGGTCAGGCGCTCAGGCCAATGCGACTGATAAGCAGAATAACAAGTAAGTCGTAACTTTAATGAGTAGTTGAAGTCAGAAATGGGCTAAACTTTCCAGACAAACCTACGAAGCAGCTGACCAATGAGAGCAGACTGTTGTGAACAGCATGCAAACTTATTCTAGTTAGACTCCCAAATAAAAGTATGAACCTGAAAATGATCATCATATGGTCTCTTTAAATAATCTTTAGAGTGGAGTAATTTTATATTTTCAAAATACCCCAAACTACTATAAATGCATTTTCCTGTATTTTTAAAATGCTACATACTGTGTGTGTGTGTGTGTGTGTGTGTGTGTGTGTGTGTGTGTGTGTGTGTGTATTTTATCTTGATACATTTATTTGAGGGGTATTTTGTCTTTTGTAAAAAGATCCATTTCAATGTATTGTTGCCCATCTCTGTATGTTGTCATGTTAATCTTGTAGATAATTATATTAGCAAAAGATTTCCAAATTTCACTGTGACTGGATGTCAACTGCTGTGATGTGTGTGTGTGTGTGTGTGTGTGTGTGTGTGTGTGTGTGTGTGTGTGTGTGTGTGTGTTTGTGATGTGTGTGTGACATGAAGTATTAGTAAAAATAAATTCTGATTCTTTTTGTGTTTATTTGTGCAGGTATGCGAGGCTTGGTGTCAGTACTCTTGGACACTGTGCCGATGCTTACAAATGTTCTCCTCCTCTACCTCTTTGTCATCCACATCTTCTCCGTTGTGGGAGTCCAGCTGTGGGCGGGGCAGCTGCTCAACCGCTGCTTCCTGGGAGAGGACATTCCCGCGTAAGGAAATTGCTTAGTCTGCTCTTCCAGTGTTTGTATTTATTCCACTTCTCTCTGGGCTAGAAGTTGCACAAATGGCCTCCAGATATTGCTCTAATTTACAATATGTAATGTGATGATGTGTGAACTGCAAATCCTCACAATTGTGAACATTTTGCATAAATAACTTAGGTTATACTAAGTTAATATCCTGCCATTTAAACTGGAAGTGAGTTGTAGTGTGTCAGTTAACTGCCAAATTTGACAACAAATCCTACATCCTGTTTTTTTCAATTTTTCACTCTTTGTATCTATGTATCGCTTATATGACCATATATACATTCATTCTTTATTTCTTAACATGTAGCACATACACCCTGTCATGTGAAAACTAAAAGCTATGTAATGATAACTATAAAAAAGCAATTCTAGTGTGTAAAAGCTTATCATTCTTTTTCTATTCAGAATGTACAATGTGTCCTTAAGTCCATACTACACGTCCACGTATGGTGAAAATGTCCCATTTATCTGTTCGCCTGATGACAAGAATGGGATGGTACACTGCCATGATGTTCCACCTTACAAAAAGGGTGGGGAAACCTGCTCATTGGCTGCACCCCACCATGTTTCAGCTCCAAATGAGTTAGTCCCCACAGGGGCTGGGGCCAGTGCTAACACCTGTGTGAACTGGAACTTGTACTATAATGTCTGTCGTGCTGGGGACCACAACCCTCACTTGGGAGCCATCAATTTTGATCACATCGCCTATGCCTGGATAGCCATTTTTCAGGTAAGAGGGGCTTTGATATGTGTAGAAATACATTTGGATTTGGACATGCTGAAGAAAAAACACAATGATGAGCAGTCAGAATTTTTTGCACTTGTCAGACATGAAATTTATGGTTCTTGTGGGTTTTGGCGGATGGGACTAATGTTCTCTCTGTCATACACTATCATCGATCTATCATAGCAAAGTCTAGCTTTCATCTGGCTGGAGAAAGCTTATTAAAGTGTTAAAGTGTTGCCACAAAGTAATATTTTATTTGCATCACTCTCTGTCTCTCTCTACCGTAGGTAGTCACGATGGAAGGATGGATGGAGATCATGTTTTATTTTATGGATGCTTATTCCCCCTGGAGTTTTATATTTTTTGTATTCGTCACCCTGGTAAGTCCCCACTTAGTTAACAACTTTATTATTTGACCGTTCTCATAGGTCTCAAAAAACTACCTCAAAAAGAGGTTTTGGTATTCTTCCAGACTGATCACTTTTTGGTTGCACTTGACATGGTCATGGTCTGTAAAGCTGGTTAAATAACTTAATTGACATCTATGAAAATCCAACAGCAGCAGCAAAATACACTGAAATTTGAGTTTTGATTTGGTCTAAAATATCACACATTTGAGCTTTATTCTATGCTCTATTGCACTGAGATAGAATACACTAAAGTCAATCTGAGTTGGGGCATTTAGTTTCAGGATGAGAAGCAATAATTGAAATATACATTTTAATGCTGCCCTCATTTACACAGTCTGCATAATTATTGTTTATAAGTTTATTGTGTGTTACTCCTCAAAGAGAGTTATGGTTAACACTTGGACTGCAGTCCTGTTTGATGAACAACTAAACTATTTGCAGTGTTGTGTGGGTTACCTTTTCCCTGTTGGGTCTAAATTAAATTGGAGGCAGTAATCCCAAATATGCAAATGCTGCTAGTCCAATTTCTATGAAGCGGAGTTTTGCAACCCTTGCTCTAAATAGCTACACTTTACTTCCCCAACCAGATGGGCTCCTTCATCATGATGAACGTGTACGCAGTCGTCATCGCCACCCAGTTCTCAGAGAGTATGGAAAGAAGGACAGGAAAGCCTCTTGCTGACGCTGTGTCCATCACTAAGTTCTGTGACAAGTTAACCTGCTGGCTGCGGAAGATCTCCCGTAGATACAACAGGTCAGTAACTGGAAATGTACTACTAAATAGCACTTAAAACACTTTGCTGTGGTCAGATTTGCAGTCTCCAGTGGCATGTGTGTACAACCAAAGTTTAAATATATTTTAGATATTACTCTTGTTCAGCCTTGTTCAGGTCTCACTGTGTCTATGTGTCTGGAGCATTTTATTGGACATTTTGATCAAACTAAATGTGTTATGTTCTCAGCATTTAATTGTTTAGTTTGCATTAGAGACACAAATGAACTAATGCTTTCAAAAGCAAACAAACACCCAACACACACTACCAGGGGAAAAAAACCCATTAAGTCTCAATTTAACCAGAAAAGAACACCCTCTATTTTCACTTATTGTTATGTCTTGTCCTTTTACCAATAGACATCGTAACAAAGTACAACCTAATGGCAGTAGCAGCTTGAACACGTCCTCATTGGTGAGTCCAGTCAGAATCTCTCTGCTCTACCACCAGCAGCAGCATTGTTGCCTCAATAACGAGAGGTCACTTAACTGACTCCCCTGTCTTTCAGGCTCAGGCCTGGATACCCATCAAGAATACAGCTGAGAGGACTGTCAACAGTAACCTCTTTGACCGAGGGATCATGTTTACAGTTGTACTCTGTATTTTGACCATGGTCGTAGAGCACAACGGGCAGGTAATGTGTTTTCGTCTGCTTACTACAGTATCTGTCTACTCGAGTGTGTAAGGTGAATGATAGACCTGAGCAGCTGAAAGGTTCAAAGCTAAAATGGCTCTGGCTGAGAGCTGCTTTAGCCATTTCCTGTAATTCAGGAAATATTTCAGGTTTACCACACGCATTTGGACTTAAGTATTTTGTCATGCTGGGGATGAAGAGAGATAATTCCATACTAATTCTCATACCCCAACAGGAAGACTAGAATGAGATGTAAACTATTTCCTTTTCCTTTTCTTCCTTTACGTAACTGTTCTTTTTTGAATATTTTATATTGATTGCTTGTCTTATCACCCTCCCTATCTTTGCATTTTCACATTCTCTTGTTTTCTGTTGCCCCCTTTCTCCATCTATATCTCTGTTCCACTCTGTCCTTTCTTTCTTCCTCTCATTGTATTTATTTCTTCCTTCTCTTCCTACAGCCTGAGGAGATGACACAAGTGTTACAGATCAGTAACATCATCTTCACCATTGTATTTGTTCTGGAGATGGTCTTAAAGCTGGTGGCTCTCACATGGAAGTACTTTACGGACCGAAACAACATGTTTGACTTTGTCATCGTTATCATCAGGTAATATGGTCCTGTGTAGTCTGACTTTTGACCTCTGCTTATTGCTTTGTCTTGTAATACTGTTTCATTGGAGCCACCCATTTAGTTTTTTGAGAATGGTACACAAAAGCTGTTGCAGAATTAAGATAAATTCATTGTTTCTATCATATTGGAGTAGGATGACACTTACTCAGCAGTGTGAGACTTCAGTGCTTGGAATACAATGTATACCAGCACTTATAACCAGTAACAGGCTGGATTTAAGTAAAACTAGCACAGTATTACCTATAATCTCATGATACAGTATATTAAATCACACAGAAGTTGCCAACAGTGTATTAAAATGTGGCTGTTTTTTTCAGTTTGTGGGAGATAATTGCTAAAGCTGATGGCAGGTTGTCAGTTCTGCGGGCATTTCGCCTGCTGCGGTTTGTGAAGTTGGTTCACTTCTTCCCTTACCTGAAGAAACAGCTGCAAGTGCTGAATATGGCAGTGGAAGGAGCAGCCCCACTCGGTGGGCTACTGCTGTTTGTCATTTTCATTTTTAGGCAAGTACACACATGCAGACACAAAAATCCTTCCTTCATCTGTTTGTAGCTGTAATGTTGCAGGAAAACCAAATGGTTTTGTATCACTAGAATGATTATCACCCACACGACGCAGATATTTAAATGATTCTGACTGAATTTTGTTGTTTCTTTGCAGTGTACTGGGTATGCAATTGTTTGGTTGTAAACTTAACATCAAGACACCATGCGGAGACATCGTCCCTGACCAAAAAAACTTTGACACACTACTCTGGTCCATGGTCACAGTGTTTGAGGTTAGTTTTTGACTTTACAATTTGTGCCACTGTCATTTTATTGCATCATCATGCAAGTTGTGCCTCAACCTCTGTCTCTTCTATTAAATCTATCAATCCAGCTTCTGACTCAGGATGACTGGAATCTGGTGCTGTACAACACGATGGCTGCTACCTCCCCATGGGCCGCTCTCTACTTTATTGCGGTCATTGTGTTTGGAAAATCTGTTCTTCTCAATGTTCTTGTGGGCATAGTGGTTGACAGCTTCCAGGCAAAGGTAAGGCCTTCTTTCTTAGTTTTCTCCAATAGCTAGATTGTTTATACTTTACTGAAAAACACGTCAATGTTGCTGTGAAGTACGTCACACTGAAACACTAACATGCACACCTATGGCAATCTCTGTTTCCTGTTGTTCCAGCGCTCCTCAGATTCTGATCAAATTGATCCCTGTGGGTCCGCCAGCTCCTCTCCAAACAACTTGGCCTCTTCACAGAGAGATAACAAGAAAAATGTAAGTTCCTATGAGTCATAGATTCCAAATTGTGGTTTCTGAGCTAGTGCTTGTGTTGAGCGAGTTGTTTACTTCCCCCTTGTTGAGATACTAGTTACAGTTTGGAGACCCAAGGTGCTGTACTTTCTCAAACATACCAAGTATCCTACACTCCCCTTTGCTCAACTCTGTTTCATGTTGTTTCAGGACCACTCAAGCCACAACCAAGACAGCACTGTCTCTCACCCTGGGCCCAGCAGATCCCCTGCGATTAACTCAGCCCCCGAGGAAGACTCTGCACCTCTAGATGCCAATGAGGACAATGTAAGTTCCTAAGAGTTAAAGTTTTCAAAATTTGGTTTGCAATTCAACTGAGAGTTAACCCTTAGCGAAGATTTTACAAGATTTACCACCAGTGACTAGGTGGTGTGATCAAAACCGCTTTTGGATTTTAAATAAATTGTCACTTTTCTTAGCAACATTTTGCTAGTGTAATGCTGCTCTTCAGAGTTGCTTGTGGTTATTTTATTTAGGATAAAGACATGTGACTGATGTGTAACTATTCACCCCTGCAGAAGCCTTTGAACTTGACCCAGAAAGTGCGCCGCTGGTGCAAAGAGCATGAAGAGTGGTCATTCTACATATTGTCTCCACTGAACAGGTAAGTCTCAGAAACACAAAAACACACATCATTTCATCTGGGTTAAATGAAATGATTGGTTGGCCTACCTGCCTGTCTACCTGCGTGCACTCTGCCCCTGCACTCACTGGGAGTGGCTTTACAGGGAGACCTGAAAGGAGGGGTGGGATTTTTTTGGTTGTATGCTTTCAAAATCTAGTTTCTCCAATATTACCTACTGTAGCTTTAATCCATCTATTCATTTTCTGCTCAGTTATCAGGATTCAGAATGCATTACCTTGATTATTTAGAACATTAGGAATTATTGTTATATACTACTGGGAACTAATGAAAATATACTAATAAATAATTCAATTCTTCTTATCATGTGGTCTTCCATGATGCTTTCATACTCTGGCCAGTATGATCGTGAAACAAGTATTAAACTGTGTTAGTTTTTAAAAGTTAATAAACGCTGTAGTATCATGGGTGATTTTAGCCAGTCAAATCAAATCTGATTGGATACATTTAAATGACAATTTCATAATATTTTAATGTTTTACAGGAAGCAAAAGACATATAAAATGTATTCATATATAAATTAATGTTTGTTTTGACTCCCTCCTTTTTTCACTGATAGCTATTTTGATTAACGTGTGTGTGTGTGTGTGTGTGTGTGTGTGTGTGTGTGTGTGTGTGTGTGTGTGTGTGTTTAGGTTCCGTATCTGTTGCCTTCGTGTGATCTCTCACAAGATGTTTGACCACATGATTCTGCTCTTTATTCTCCTTAACTGTGTCACCATTGTTTTGGAGAGGCCTGGAATAGACTCTAAAAGCATGGTGAGACACACATATACTGAATGTAACCTACAGTAACTTTTACTGCAGACAGGGATATACAGTGAACCCTCACAGAGTGTTGAGACACACATATCCAATCTGAAGCACACAAGCATAGTAAAATAAATATAGACAGATGCACGTGTCCACAGAGATGTGATGAGAAATAGCAAATACAGCGTCACCGCAGTCTGATGAACAGACACACATGCACCCTACACACACTTCCACTCTGTCAAGCTGGATGTTATGTATTTAGTAAAACAAATAATATGTAATAGTAGTTTGATCAGATGTAATACAAAATACATACAAGTTAAAAATGAATCTCACTCTGCCCTTTAGGAGCGATGGATGCTGGATTTGTCTAATTACGTATTCTCTGCTGTCTTCCTGGTAGAGATGCTTGTTAAGGTAAACGTCAGTTTTGTTTTTTTAACTGTAGAGCTCTATGGCCATTGTAACTGAGATGGTATTGTATATTCTGATAGATAAATTACTTTATGACTTTTTAGCTGTTAATTGAGTTGACATCCGAAATGAAATGATACATACATATATATATATATATATATATATATATCATTTTATGTATATACTGCAAATTATTCTACAATTTTGGATATACTTTTGGATCAAACATTTCTACCTTTTTAAGGAATCCATAATGTTTTAATGTTAAATTGGCGTATTGTTGCTTTAATACCAGGTTCTGGCTCTTGGTTTGATATTTGGGAAGGAGAGCTACTGCCGGTCTTCCTGGAATATCATGGACGGTTTGTTGGTGATTCTGTCTTTAGTCCACATCCTCGTCACTTTTGTCAGTACGGTTGATAGTCACATGCTGGGCATCCTCAAAATGTTACGCCTGCTACGGATTCTTCGCCCACTGAGGTATACAATTTATTTTTGTGTATATTTGATGTCTGTGTGGGTTGATACCAGTTAATATGTTCATGTACTGTCTGTGTGTAAGCATACCATATTATTTCATATCATTTTGTGTCTGTAGTTACGTGTGCTGCCTCTTACAAACATCTGTTTGTTTATGTTTGTGTGTTCCAGGGTAATCGAGCAAGTTCCGAAACTGAAGCTGGCTGTGGAAGCTCTGATGGCCTCAGTTAAACCCATCAGGAACATCCTTCTCATTTGCTTCGCCTTCTTCTTTTTCTATGGCATCCTTGGGTTGCAGGTGAGTTGACACATACACACACACACACACACACACACACACATGATCCCTGGTCAGCTTTTAGTCAAGTAATCATAGTAAACACCTCTGTTGAGTGTAATAGCCAACTAGCTTTGATGTAATTGATGTAATCGAGAAATTGAGATGATGTCAGGACAAATAAATTAACACTACAGACACTCTATCTCTGTCTTACACAAACGCTGTAGTTGTTCAAAGGGAAGTTCTACTACTGTGTTGGTGCGGACATAAGAAACATCACCAACAAGACTGATTGTCTGTCTGCCAACTATCACTGGATACGAAAGGAGTACAACTTTGACAATCTGCTTCAGGTACAGACTAACCCACCGAGCACACAGGACAGGTTTTAGATATTGTCTTAAAATTGTTCATGTTCAGCCAATCAGCATGATCACGTGATCTATCAATATGTATATTATGATGGAGATGTGGATCCAGAACTTCCAAACGAACACATTAAGATGATCACATTGGATGATGGATTGCATACACTGTGTGCTGTCTAGTTTCTTTTTAAGTTGCTTAAACAAAAGCATCATATTCATCTAAATATAACGAATGTGTATACTGGAAAAAAATAGACCTGGGGTGTTGACTTACCAGTTATTTCTCTGTTTCCCATTCAGGCTCTGATGACGTTGTTTGTAATGTTCTCCAAAGATGGCTGGATGAACATCATGTATGATGGGCTGGATGCTGTGGGAGTGGACCAACAGGTATATTTACTGGCAAAGTATTTTATTGATGTGTTTACATTGTTATTTATATGATAAAGGAACAAGGGACTATGCAGTCTTGATGTTCATTGTGACTGAGTTTCGTTCTTCTGCTAATTCATTTTCAAATGGCACAGAAATAAATGGAAACTACTGGCAGCCTGGAGCAGTTGGAACAATATAGCTAAATATTTGTAAATGTATAGCATATATTTGAGGACGCAGTTTGTTAACAACTGTCAATAACAGATGGAATAGGGATGGTTGAATTATCCTCTGTACAAGTCAGTAACTAGTTGGTTGCCTGATCCCATAGCCAAAGTGTTACAGTCTGCATGACACCCATCCTCACAACAATGGATAGGCTGGAGCAAGCACATGTCAGCATGCAGAAGGAGATATTAAACACACGAGTTCTACAGACAGCAGTGTAATAAATGTGTCCTCAATGTCTCCTCTCTGCTCTTCTCCTCTCAGCCTGTGAGGAATCACAACGAGTGGATGCTGCTCTACTTTATCTCCTTCATGATTATAAGCTTCCTTCTCCTCGATATGTTTATTGGTGTAATGGTGGAGACCTTCCACCACTGTCAGCAGAATCAAAAAAGAAGAGATCGAGAGTTACTAGAAGAGGGAGGAAAAGTCCAGTGCAACAGTAAGGAGAATGAAGGGGCTTGTTGCGGGTCTATTTTTCTGAGCGTTTCCTTTCAGAGTCTAAAAAAAAAAAGAGAAAGGCTGGTTAGGTCATGCAAACAGAGGCTGATCATATTGGCCAGTGTGATGCATGTATTCAGACCGTTTTAACAGAGCTAAAAACAGCTGCAGCTCGATGTAACATTGATGAGAGGAACATTAAACATAAAAGTGTGGACCATCAAACCAAAAAATAACAATCTGGAAGACTTTGAGATGCTCTGTAGACCTGAGATGAACTGGAGAAAGGTGATTATTCCCTTTGGGTTCACCACTCTGAGCGACTCCTTTCACATGCGTGTAGCCATGTGATCCATTGTTGATATAAAGATATTGATTAGGGCAGCTTTACATGTTTTTAGTGTTTGTTACATATTTGTGTCCCTTCTTTGTGTGTGTGTAGACATGTGTGTTCCAGAGCCTGCACAGATGCCATATTACACTCACTACTCCACCATACGACGAGCTATCCATTCTCTGTGTACCAGCAACTTCTTGGACCTCTTCATGATTGTCATCATTGTCATCAGTGTCGCAGTGATGGCTATCCAACATTACAATCAACCTCCGGTAATGCACACACACATACAGTCACTGCCTGCAGGAGTTGAAAGCTCTGAACTGCCACAAAAAATTTATTTGCATGGGCTTTGTAGAATAAACCTTTCTGTGTCTGCTCAGTATATAGAGAAGATTACGGAGTATTCCTTCTATGTGTGCACCATCATCCTGATCATTGAAGTCCTGCTGAAGCTCGTGGCGTTTGGCATATGGAGGTTCATAAAAATCAGGTGACACAGAGTGAGCAAGAAATTATTTTCCCTTATTTGCATTTGTGTGTAAGCACTGTGTTTAATGACGTTTGCATGTGTTTAGTTGGAATCTGCTGGACGTTGCTGTACTCACGGTTTCCATCATCGGCATCGTTTTGCACAAGATGAACATGGCAGACACAGTTCCCATTAATCCCAGCATCCTGAGAGTATGTAGAGTACTCAGACTAGCACAAGGTACTATACACGCACTCAAAGTGAAATCTGTGTGTGTGTGTGCGCGCGCGTGTGTGTGTGTGTGTGTGCACTTATGGTATAAGTTATCCATGACCACTCTTGTGTCTCTCTTCAGTCCTAAAAGTCAAAAAGCTAAGAATTCTGCTAAAAACCATCATGAAGACTCTCTCACAGGTAAACACAGACACTGTGGGATTTATTTAGTTTGTTGTCTGATTCATTATGAATGTAAAGTGAGTATAAATTAATTTATTTTGCACAGGGATAACCTTGCTCTTGCTGCATTTGTTCTTGATGTTTACCCACATTACAGTATGCAGATTCTTTCCCTGAGGTATCTCTGTTTGTGCTCTGTTTGCACATTAGAAACCCTATGACAGTGCTGTGCAACCCAGTCAGTTTTATTATTAACTTTGCATATTAATAAAAACTAAACACATCAGATAGGGCCTAATATTCAAATTAGTCATAAAACTCAAGTTAGCTGTACAACAGCATTAAGGGATCATCTGAAGATCAACAGGAGGAAGTGTTGAGTTTGCATCAACAGACAACAGTTGCAGCAGCAAATTAACAAAGCAAATGGGAAAACCCAAATGTTCAAAAGATGACATTCCTAAATGTCTGCAATGATAGCCTGTCTCAAATAAAGTAGTTCCTTTTAGCTGAGGCCCCTGGTTGAGTATTTAGAATATCTACATTGTTTGTTGTGCAGGAGATATAACATTGATTATGATTCCAGGTGGGAAATATTTGTCTGCTCTTCACATTCTTTTTCTTTATCTACGCTGCGGTGGGAGTGGAGCTCTATGGCAAGCTAGGTCAGTCACACTACTAGCAGAAAACACACGTACACACGGGGTTACAGCAAAGGATTATGGTTCTAGAGATGACCTCAGTATCAACATTGTTGCCAAGGAAAGCCAGAAACCCTTTAGCTGAACCTCAAGTAGTAGTAAACCTCAGGAGGCAGCCTAGTAAATACCACAGTCACCCCAGAGCATCATTTATCCATTAGCTAATCCTTTTATAAAATCATAATGGACCACAACATAGTTACATTTGGATAAATACTACAGGCCCACTCTAATGCCACATCTTTTTAGCTGACTCAAACACACGTCTGAAGGATTTTATTGGTTGAAGTCAACAGGTCCACAGCGCACTGATATCAATATCTGGATGTCTGTGCTGTGTGTCTCTGTGTTAATCAGAATGCAATGATGACCGCCCGTGCCTGGGTTTACGCCCCGAAGCCAACTTCAGACATTTTGGGGTGGCCCTGCTCACGCTGTACGGCGTGTGCACCGGAGACAACTGGAGCGTGGTTTTGAAAGTATGTACTCACTCATACATTTACACAAGCTCTATATATACAGCATGTTATCCCCTATTGAAACCGTCGTTATGTGAGGGATAATTACCCAACAATTACAAGCACTATACCTTTGAAGGGAATTATCCCACTATATCATATCATTAATCATCATCATTAATTCAATTTGCAGTTCTTTTAACAAACTTATTTTTTCTGTCATTAGTACCACATTTTGTATTACTTCACTGGAAACTTCTCACAGAATCATTAGGGAATTCTGACTAAATTACAGACCCATAAAATAAAGCATTATAGTAATGTTTTTTTCTAACTTTTGCTGTACCATTTAGTTTCCAATTGTCAAATTATTATAATTACTGTGGTTATTAAACAGTTAAGATTTCTGAGAAAGAATGGTTTTGTCATGTTGCCTCCAGTCTGTGTGCCAGTCCCTCTTCCTTTCTGAATCTTGCTCTGTGTCTCTCAAGGACGCAATGAGAGAATGCCATCCGGGTGACCACGGCTGCATAAGCTACCTTTCCTGGGTTTCTCCGTTGTACCTCATCAGTTTCGTGGTTATGGCCCAGTTTGTGCTAGTGAACCTGGTGGTGGCAACAATTATGCAAGCGCTGGAGGACACGAACAAGGTACAGTACATACAGCTGTTCTTTGGTAAGAACAGCTGTAAAGCTAATATTTAATTTGGTACTAATTCTAGGTACTGTCATCAAAATATAAAAAGAGTAAAGTTTCCAATAATTAATGGATAATAAATTGATAATTACTTGGGTTTGAATTGAGCCATTCTTTCAAGGAATATTCTTTCTCAGAACTTTAGAAACAAATCACTGTAGCAAATGAATCTTACTTGTGATTTTACTGCAATTTATTGTACAAAGAAAAAGTGCAGTGCAAATTACAGGAAAGATGTCCTTGTTAGTCTGAATGATCCACCAAACAAAATATGAAAACGTCGAGAGCATCCGGTGGATTATCCAGAGTAAGAGCTCAACATCCTTACCAGACCCCTACATCATCAACAGCTAAAATCAATAATAGATTGTTTGTTTTTTTAGATAGGATTGTGCTGTGGGAGGAACCATGACATGGACAAAATAATAATAATAAACAAAGCACTGATTTCTGACTTTGACGTTGCCATACCAATGTAAGAAGAATATGTTTATATTTCACAACAAACCTACTGACTGCTGTCTTCTCCCAAAGGAGGAAGGAATGCATGACGAGGCCCGGCTGTCTCCAGGGGAGAGTGACAGACCCAGTGCCAGCCACGTCAATGCAGAGGGCTCCTCAGAGACGTGAGGTCGCACAGAAATTATTTACTTGTTTTGAGGAGTAATGTATATGTTTGATTTAATGCCACATGTTGGTTTTAATGGCATTTGGTTTTATCATCTTAGAGGGATTTTGAAATTGTATAATGTTTTAATTATTATTTTCTTATTTTAATTAACAATATTTTGTAAATAAATTGTATATATTTGATTTAATGCCACATGTTTTTTTGATGGAAGTTGTTTTTATCTTCTTATGTTATTAGAGTGATTTTGAAATTGTAGAAGGTTTTAATTATTAGTTTCTCATTTTAATTAGCGATATAAACTGTGTAAATAAATTGTATATATTTGATTTAACTTAATGTTTAAGCTATTAGAGTGATTTTTATACAGTTAGTTGTTGGTAATTGATATTAAATATATAATTTTCTAGTTATCGTTCTTGTTTTCAAGTAGTAAACTGTGTATAGATGTTTTTCATTTTGACTATGTATAAATTTCCGATATAATTTTTCTTGAATAAATGTAATCAACCTGATTTACACAGACACTTTTTTTTTATCCACTATTTTGTTGTTTGAAGTAGTGATATAAACTAGCTTTAATCTGGGAGTAGTAAAAGTGTAAAGAGATGAACAGGGTTACACAAGGAATTTTCAAACATCTCCGGAACATGACTCATAATACAGCAGACACATTGTACACAGAAAACAAACACTGGGGAAAAGAAAAGCAACTTATTTTAATAAATACATTTCAGTGTTATTTTAAATATTTTAAATCCTAAACACATAAATACATATAATATATGTGGTTTAGGGCTGAAGTCCACTTACTTTAAGGGTTGGTGGATGTTGCTGGACCATTTGGGAACATGTAACAAATGCATGAAAACATGGAACAGCTATAAGCTACTTTTAAACAGGAAGTGGAAACTTGATCTTTGAAGGCCTCAGATTTTCCTCCTTCAGGGGGGAGACCATTGTCCCAGTTCCATTGTACATACTACTTGTATTATCTGCATTGTCAGAGTACACTGTTTTTGCAGTTTACAATAAATCAGACACTCTACCATTTTGTTCTGACAGGAAATGATGAAATAAAGCACTGATCTTGTCTACCTATCACACTGACCTTGGAAACGCTATAGTCAAGAAAAACACTAAATGTTTTTCAAAGATTTAATTCTGTATTGTTTTTTCCCAGGATCTTCCTCTGCTGCCTCACCCTGCAAAATTAGCTTGAATGTATTTCAGCGGCTGCATTTCTTCTCTGCATTGTAGTACAATGTATGTTAACAGTCATTTCTCAAAGCACTTTTACACTACATCTGCATTCACCAGTCACAAACATTCATACACTGGTGGAACAGCCACCAGGGGCAATTTGGGATTCAGCATCTTGCCTGAGGACACTTTGACATGCAGTCAGGGGATTCAACCACTGACCTTCCGATTAACAGCCAACCCGCTCTACCTCGTGAGCCACAGCCGCGCCCCGCCTTAGTATTGTGTACCTTAGTATTCAGCACTTTTGCATAAGAGTGGAAGGAAATTGTCCAACAGTCTCATAATTTAATTTAAAAGCAAAGAATCATGCAAACATTTGTGGAAGTCAGTCTGAGTGGCAGGTCCTGCAGATCCAAGATAATATAATTATAAATGATGAAGCAAGGACTTTATATTAGAAAACTGCATATTGCAGCCAGTCATTAAAAGAGAAAATTGTTTTCTCCTTCATATAATTGATTTCCTGGTACACACAAGCTAAGGTTTTATCAGGGCTTACAATCTGTCATTTGGTCATCTTCTGCAAGTCAAACCATAGGTTGGCTTCCATAGTTAATTATAGTAGGGCCCAAGTACATGTTATAAATATAATGTTCCTCAATTATGTGGCACACAACATTTCCAGGCCAAAAAAATATTTATAAGACATGTCTGTGTTACAGGCCATGTGTCATTTAATATGATAAGGATGCCACATGCCCAGTTAGTCTTGTTATTTTAACTTTTAAGTGTTTTTGTTTGCAGTGCACAGTTGCATCCTGTCTCCGTCCGTGTTTAAAAACGTACACGGACCCGGTCGGGAACCACAAACTGTATTTCAATTTCCAACCTTGTTGTAATATGATGATTAAATTGATCTTGTACCTTGCACCTTGTACTGGTGTGTCTGCTGGCCTGGAGAGGGCCATGCTCGTGCCTAAAGGTCATGTAGCACAAAATGATTCAGAAAACATGCTTCAGAACCTGGATGCAGTGTGAGGCATGTGATGTCTGGTCTGTGTGCTTGAGGCTTTGGCTCTCCATGACCATGACGCTACTTCTCTCATGACACCCTATGATGACACCTTATTTAGCCACTGAGAGCGTACTGACAGCGCACCTGCTAAATGTGACATCCGACTTCCCCTCTTACACGCGCGTACACGCGTGTCCACCACAGCGACACTGACATCTGTTGACGAGTTACTGGTAGTGCAGGCTGACAATGCCGTTGGTGATGAATAAAGATGCCCTCTCATATTTCACAGTACATGAGTTCAGTGTTTCAATAACACATAGACACATTTAGAGAACTCTAACATTTTACACTTACACTCAGGAAAAACACTAATATCGACAGACAGCAAAGCTTTTTGAGCTACTCACATGTGGGCGGGGTTTAAAGCCCTGGCAGCCGCAGATAGAGAGGTTCTTCGATGAGGTCCTCCTAGTAACGAGGCCGACAGAGAGGTGAGGGGAGGATGATCTGATAGTTAACGGATTATTATAAAGATTAACACTGCCAGTGCACCAGCAGCGAACAGGTGAGTAAAGCTGTCCGTTTACCGACCGACTTTAGCTTCGTTGCTTCGGCATAGACCACATCAAGTTGCAATGGGTTGTAGCCCCAGGTTTAGCCTCTCAAGTATTTAATTCAGAGCTCATTTCGATAGCATTGAGGCAGTGCAACTGTTCTCGTATTATTCACTGCCATTGCTTATCGCCCAAACAAAAAACGAGTCTCCCTGCCTTATCTTGCTTTATGGTGGCCGTCCCGGTTCATTTATATTCCTGCAGGGTTCCTCTGGGATTTGCCTTTAACGCACAATTCTGACATGCCGTGTAAAAGGTGCAGAAATCACGCCACTACGAACTAAGTTCAAAGTATGTATGTGACAGTGAGGGAAGACAAGCCAAGTTAAAGTGATTTTCTTTCATATAAACTGTTTAGACAAATATAAGCATGAGGTGTGGCGTTTAGATGCGTCACTAGTGGAATGTATTTTAATCTTTTTGTAGGCAGCAACATGTCAAACCAACCCAAAACCTTGAGGAGCCTAGGAGAGAGAGAGAAAGACAATGAGAGGTGGGCAGGCTTATATAAGCTTGGTTGTGCTAGAAGTGGACAGTGAGGGAACCTTATCAGTATAATGTTACAGAGTAGAGTATCTAATCTCTCCCCCTCTCTTACCTTAGTCACACACTCAGGAGCAGCTCTTTTCTCTCTTCACGATGGCTGAGACTAAGGGGAAATTCGACTTTGCCATCGACCGGGGTGGCACCTTCACCGATGTGTTTGCCCGGCTGCCCGATGGTCGAGAAAGAGTCCTGAAGCTGCTGTCCCGGGACCCCCAGAACTACAAAGACGCTCCCACTGAGGGGATCCGTAGAGTACTGGAACAGGTAATGTGATCTTTCTTATGTTTTTCAACCTGTCATGTTTATTGTTTAGCAACACCAAGTAAATTCCTTGTATGTGTAAACCTGCTTGGCAATAAAGCTGATTCCGGTTCTGTGATAGGTGGATGTGTTAATGCATACTTTTCTGAAATATTATTAATATTATTTCATAGTTAAAATTACATGGGAAGAGTTTTGTGAAATTTGAGGTCAAATGGAGATGAAGAAATACACCTGGTCATTGCCTGAAGCCTTGAAAGTGATGAGTTACTGGAAAGCTAGGTACTGCTACCTACTAGGGGCTGGATTTGGGTTTAAAAGATGCCCTTGGCTTGGTCGAGCTAGAGATGTTCAAGATGGCAGTCTTGACTTGGAAGTCCCGAATCCTGAGATTTGCCTTTTGACTCCTAATGTGCTCCTCCGTTCAATTTAATTCTTATTACAGTTTTACCATAATACTATGACATGAGTCTGACCCAAGACACATGCCAAGCATACCAATGAAGCTGCCAAAACAAAGATATTGTATTTGTAATGGACAGGTAGCCCAGCAGGCTATTGCCAAAAAGGTGGAAGCATGGTTAGGCAATCCTGCCTTAGTTTAAAACAGAGTATTAAAAAACTATTTGTTGAACTTTAAGATTATTATAAAGCCGACAGCCTGAGAGCAGATCAAAACATGTCTGTAAAGACAGCAGTCGAATGAAGCACAAAAGAGACAAAGAAATCATATTTAGCTATTATTTAAGATAATTTCATATGTAATATTACATCACTACATCATCTGTATGAACAGTAAAGTGAAATACTGTACATATTTGTGTGGATTTATAACAGGAAACAGGGCAGGTCTTTCCTCGCGACCAGCCTGTAGATACCGCTATGATTGGCTGGATCCGAATGGGAACAACAGTGGCAACTAACGCGCTCCTGGAGAGAGAGGGAGAAAGGACCGCGCTCTTGGTCACACTGGGCTTCAAGGACTTGTTGCACATTGGCACACAGGCCAGGCCAAAACTATTTGATTTGGTTTGTAATGCTTGTTTTCTTAACCCATGAGTAAATACATAAATGTTCGGAAAGGCTTACGTAACCCCTAACCCCAGCTACCCAAGTCACAAACATATTCACGTTTATCGTCATCATTATGCCTTTTTGACTATACTGTATGTGGTGTTCATGAGCAGCCTGGGTACAGGTCTAGTGTCCCTGCAACACAAAGGTTTAGTCATTATCTTACAGATAATGTTACAGAAACAAGGGACAGTTGTTGGAGTTTGTCCCCAGACCAGTTGTACCATTTATGGTTTAAGTGTTCACCGATCTATGAAGCTGATGCTGTGTTACAGAGCAAACTTTTGGAAACACAGATATAGAAAAGGCTAATTAGAATAACAAAGTATAGATTATTCTGCAATAAACTATATTTTGCTAATTTTAAGTGCTGTTCACATACAGTATAGGCAAACTATACCCATCAAACAAACATGGAGGCTTACTCTGACCACTAGTTCATTACTTGTTGACATTTGACCCAGCCTCCTGCATTATGTTGCGCTCAGTCTTATCAGTATATCACGGGCATGTACGGTTGGTCATATGTTTCTCTTGTTGGAACACCTGCTTTGAATTTACACAACTTGTGTGTGTGTTTTTGTTTGTGTGTATACAGGAGGTGGCAGTTCCTGAAGTGCTTTACGAGGAGGTAATAGAGGTGGATGAGCGAGTCGTCCTCAGGCAAGATGGCTGCCAGCTGCCCAGACAAGATCCCAAACGTATTGTCAAAGGTGTGAAACACAACTTTTTGGCCGAAACCCTAAATGCAGTGTAGATCTTTTATGCTGCTACATTTTTTTTAGCCAAGCTAGAAGCCTGGCTAATGGCAATATCAGTCTGCCTGTTAGTCCACCACTTTGGTCCAGACTCAAATATCCCAAAATCCATTAGATTGACTGTCATGAAATTTGGTACTCACACTTATGTCCATCTCAGGATATATTGTAATAACTTTGGTAATCACTTAACTTTTCAATTTCAGTTTGTCCAATACTTTGGTTTATGACTAAATACTTGCTAAACGAATGACATTCCCACCAGCCTCAGCTTTACTTTATGTTAAGTGCTAGTTAGCGTATGTTACCATGCTAAGATGCTAAACTAGGATGGTGAACATGGTAAACATACCTGCTAAACATCAGCATTTTAACTTAGCATTATCATTGTGAGCATGTTTGCACCTTGGTAAAAAGCACTGCGGTGCCTGAGAACAGCCTCACAGAGTCTCAAAGGTTGGCTGTAGAGTCTTGTTAATACATAACGCAGTTTACAGACAGTTATATAGGTTTTTTAAATCAGTAACTTACTTCAGTTAACTTCAATAAGTGCACAAAAAAGAGCTACATGCTATAGCAGCTCTGTGAGGCTGTAAGTCGTGTTTTACTACTTATGTTTACTTATGCATTACTTCTCATTTTGTTTGAATTATTATGTAAATGAAATGTACGCATAAATACAAAAGTTTTTACAAACATCTCTCTGCCTCCAAATCTCCTCTGTAGTTATCCTCAGCCTTCGGTGGTGACAGGGCTACAACAAATGCAATATTCTGTATGTTCTTTGGTTGTAAATGTAGGAATGTAAGCTCATTCTACTCGCACACACATGAGAGCTTTGCCTGAATGCCGTGTATAATTTGAAATAATCCTGATAATCTCTGTGTGTGTGCTGGTGTCCCTCAGGCAGTACAGGCGATTCTCTGGAGGTGTGGAGGGAGCTGGATCTGGAGCGAGTGGAAAAAGACCTGAGAGGAGTTCTGTCTCGCGGGATCACCAGTCTGGCTGTGCTTCTGCTGCACTCATACACGTCAGTAGTACAGCTTGTGTTTTTGTACTGTTTGGCATATTTACTCAATAATCTGATATGTTGTTCCCTCTTTCTTTCATTGGCTTGCTTTCCTTTCCTTCCCAGGTCATCTCGCCGAGCCAGGAACTTAACTTCCAACTCACTGCTCACTTATATGTTGTTTTTTCTTTTTGTCACTGTATACTCATTTATGCAATTTTTGCTCTGTATGTGTCTGCGGGAGTAAAAGTAGGCTGTAAATGTCAGAGGTATCTGGTGTCCACTAGCCTGTTTCTATTGTATGCAATCAATCAATGAGGTTAACTGGGTGGAAGTTCATGTTTCTCTTCAACATTTTCTCTCTTTACCTCCATTTGTTCCTTGAAATCCATTCACAGTTGAAGTAACAGTCAGCAGATTTATTACTTCTAGTTCATAATAAAGAAAGTAATCAAAGCAGTTTTGCTTCATGTCACACCAACAAATCACATGCATACTTTCCTTTCCATTGGGAAATATTTGTCTTGAAAGGCTTTTAAGTGATAAGACAGACACAATAAAGAGCAGAGGTGATATTGCAGAAGAGCTTTATGTCCGACTTGCTTTCTAGCTTCACTCCATTCCTCTCCCTGTGTGTGTCTCTCTCTCTCTGTTTTAGATGGTCCGATCATGAGAAAGCAGTGGGCGCTTTGGCACGTCGTCTGGGCTTCACCCAGGTTTCTCTGTCCAGCGAGGTCATGCCCATGGTGCGGGCGGTCCCTCGGGGCTACACTGTCTGCGCCGATGCCTACCTCACACCCAAAATTCATCAGTATTTAAAAGGCTTTACCTCTGGGTTCAAGGGCGGCCTGAAGGTGTGTTCCGGTGTATTTTTCAGATCAACATTTGTGTTTTTCTTTTACTTTTTTTCTTTAGTCTACTGTTTAGTCTATAGAGGTATAAATCAGTCACCACCTTACAGATCACAGAGAGGGTTTTCCAGATTTTTGAGTAGCTGGGTGTCTGTTTAAGACCCTATTTCATCTGAACATTGAAATGATCTCTTCCATCCCCTATTTCCCTCCATCCTCAGGATGTGGATGTCCTGTTCATGCAGTCAGATGGTGGTCTGACACCCATGGAGCAGTTCTGCGGTTCACGGGCCGTTCTGTCCGGCCCAGCAGGGGGTGTGGTGGGATACGCTATCACCTCTTACAGCCAGATGGAGAAAAAACCTGTGATTGGCTTTGACATGGGTGGTGAGTACGGGGACTGCTGAGGAATACTGTTAGTACCCTAAACAATTACTGAGTGCACCGACTATGTGAGGAACTTCCTGCCATTGTTTTGTAGTTCTTTGTTTTTGTCAATTCAGTACATTTGATTAGATTTGATTTATTTCTGTCTTTCACTTGCAATTGTTTAAAATGTTATTAAGTGCATAGATTAATTACAGTTTAAAGGTACAATGTGTAAGACATTATGTCCAAGACTTCTATGTAATGTGTTGTGGAGATATCTACTGAAGTTAGCATGCTAACACAGCAAGCCACAGGGCATCCTGTCTTTTGATACCGCTTGTGCCCCTCACCACAGATCATCATACAAGGCGATGGTCTTTTTAACTTCATTGTTGCAGAAGAAGTGACACCCACTAATCCAGAGATAATATAAAGATAAGCTCTGACGTTACATGCGATTAGAAAAGAGCAGAGGAGCCGAATGTGGCCAGGAATTACACATTGTACATAGAATTACACATCTCTTTCTGTGTGTATTTAAGGAGAAAGCCTATCTCTTGTCTTTCTCTCCAGGAACATCCACTGATGTAAGCAGGTATGCAGGCCAATATGAACACGTGTTCGAGGCTACAACAGCTGGAGTCACCCTGCAGGCACCTCAGCTGGACATCAACACTGTGGCTGCAGGCGGAGGATCACGACTCTTCTTCAGGTCTGTTAGTCAGTCGCCAGTCTTGACACACATTTGTTTATGATTTTTGACTATCGCACAAGGGTACAAATGACCTTCTGAATGCATCGAACAAAGTACTTGTCTCTGTACTTGTCTTGTTAGATTTAGACACAATTGACCATTACGCCCTATTATAGAGACTCAAACCTTTAATTTGCATTAAGGAACAACACTGAGCTGGTTTAAATCCTATTTATCAAATCGATCTCAGTTTGTACATGATGAATCCAAGTGTCTGTGCTTGGACCAATATTATTCACCTTTTATATATGCTTCCTTTAGGCAATATTATTAGGAAACACTCCATTAGCCTTCATTGTTATGCAGATGAGACTCAATTATATCTATTAATCAAACCAGATGAAACAAATCAGTTAGCTAAACTTAAATCATGCCTTCAGGACCTGCAATTAACTGATGTTAAACTCAGACAAAACTGAAGCTATTGTACTTGGCCTCAAGCACCTCCGAAACACATTATCTAAAGATATACTGTAGTTACTCTGGATGGCATCGTCCTGGACTCCATCGTCTCTGAGTTATCTTTGATCGGGATATGTCTTTTAACTCTCACATAAAAGAAACTTCAACGACCACCTGTTTTCATCTATGTAACACTGCAAAACATCAGGCACATCCTGTCTCCAAATGATGGAAAAAAACTAGATCATGCACTTGTCCCTTAAGACTTTCCAGTTAATCCAGAATGCTGTGGCACATGTACTGACAAAAACTAAATAAACAGATCATATTTCTCATGTTTCAGCTTCTCTGCACTGGCTCCCTGTAAAATCCCGAATAGAATTTAAAATCCTTCTGCTCACCTGCAAAGCCTAAGCTTAATGGTCAGGCACCATCTTATCTTAAAGAGCTCATAGTACCTTATTACGCCACTAGAGCACTGCACTCCCAGAATGCAGGGTTACTTGTGGTTCCTAGAGTCTCTAAAAGCAGAATGGGAGCCAGACCCTTCAGCTATCAAGCTCCTCTCCTGTGTCCTACTTACTATAGATCTATTTACATCTGCTATTTAGCTGGTACAATAAAAAAAGCAAATATCAAAAAAACAGGTAAATATTTCCAGCTGCAGCTTTAAACAGTGAATACATAATTTATGCTCCTGTATCGTTCTGGTGGATGATTAACTGAGTGAGGCGATATGAATGACTATGACAAAAGAATAACATGTAACTTAAGTTAAACACCTACTGCATGATTAAATTAGACCCCAGTTTAAGCTATGTAAAATACGGGATCCATTTTGTTAGCAATGGTAAAGCTTTAAAAGTTTGAGGTTAATGTGAGAATGTAATCTTGCCAGTCTGTTGTAAATAATAACTAGCTGACCTTGTACTCTCACATTCATTAAAACGGCTACTTGTCTGCATCCAGTTGTTTAGTTTAATTTGAAATCAATTAAGAATTTATTTGAATTATTTCTTGTTCCTTTTTCCTCATCTCTCCTTCCTTTACTTCCCTCTCAGATCAGGGATGTTTGTGGTTGGACCAGAGTCTGCAGGTGCACATCCAGGACCAGCCTGTTACAGGAAAGGTAATAGGTGTCCCCTGTAACTCCCTTTATTTCGTTTTTTTTCTCAGTGTATTATTGTGATTTCTTCAGTACACAGCCTGGTTGATAGTATTTTCCCCAACCTTCAATGGTTTCACTCTCTTTTAAATAATTCTCCTACATTCATCTGACCCTTCATGCTGTCGGACAAAAAGCCACACACAGAGCTTTCTGTTCCCATACCCCTTCTCTGATTGATAATCTCGTTTAACTGTGTGAAGGTTGAAAATAGGTAAGAGTCCAAGTTTCAGATGATATAACTGAAGCTTGCCTCATTGTTCTCAGTTTGAGCTGCAATGTGTGTTTACAAAACGAAACTTGACTCTGAGTTCATTGTTGATGTTCCCTGCAGGTGAGCGGTCAGATCTCCAGGGCTTTTTCACATTTCATTACAGAGTTATATGAAATATGTTAAAATACAAGACTGAAACGCCTAGCAATGCATCTTACACAAAAGCAGCCTGTACTTAGAACAGCATGAGTTTAAAAACATAAAATTGATTCCCTGTGGGATTTTCTTAGGTGGCCCTCTGACTGTAACCGATGCCAACTTAGCCTTGGGTCGCCTCCTCCCCTCCTTCTTCCCAAAGATCTTTGGTCCCGGGGAGAACGAACCACTGTCATTGGAAGAAACCATGAAGCATTTCCATCTTCTGGCCCAGGAGATCAACCTCTTCCTGTCTTCTAACAAATCACAGGCACTAATATTTACTGAGATATTAAGCTGAGCTTCAGATGTTCTTAATAATTCGGTAGGGGATTGATGTAGGGATGATAAGGCTAAAATGTTTTTTCACAGGTTACCACAAATGGGCCCAACCAGTCGCACAACAGCACGTCAGAGATGAGTGTGGAGGAGGTTGCTATGGGATTCATTCGTGTTGCAAATGAGGCCATGTGCCGGCCAATCAGAGCTCTGACACAGGTATAAAGTCTCAGCTACTGAATGTTTGGTTGTTAAAATATATATATGATTCATGTTTTTTTTTTTTTCTTACTTTCACCCTCCCGTCTCTGTCACTCTCTCATTCTTGGCCCATACCCACATAGGCTAAAGGCCATGATACATCTCAACATGTGCTGGCTTGTTTTGGGGGTGCAGGTGGCCAACATGCATGCGCTATTGCCCGAGCCCTGGGGATGAAGACTGTCTTTATACATAAGTAAGGGTGATTGGTTGTGTGTATGTGCATGTGTGTTGTAAGAAAGAGCCGTGTTCATGGGCAACATGTTTTGCTGTAATATGTATTTGTGTGTATGTGTTGTAGATACAGCGGCGTGCTGTCAGCCTATGGTCTGGCTCTAGCTGACGTGGTGGAGGAAGTGCAGGAGCCGTGCTCACTGAAGTATGAACAGGACTCTTTCGGCAAGCTCGATCAGAGGGTGGAGCGGCTCTCGAAACGCTGCCACGATACACTTTGTACACGTGGATTCACCAGGTCAGCACCCACAAAACACTGCATGGTTTAGGGTTAACCTTATGCTTCTCCAGCTGTGTTAATACACACTTTTTTTCATTGATACTCCCTGAATACATGCATTTTTATCTTTTTCTTTTTATCCTCTTCAGCGGCCAGATAACCATTGAGGTTTTCCTTCACCTGCGTTACGAGGGCACCGACTGCGCTCTCATGGTTACCGCTGCCACTTACCCCAGCAACGCCCAATCCTGTCTATCTGGAGACTTCAAAAGTGCCTTCACCAAGCGGTTAGCTCTTTCTTTACTCATTTGCTCAAAGATTTGTAAGTTTATTCATTCACTGAGCTGTAATAAACTGCAACCCGTATTCACTCATGAGTGGAGAAATCATTGCCACTTAAACTTTTGCTCCGCTGAGCCCTCTGTTCGCATTGCATAAGCAAACACACTATCAAGTTAATGTGTCGTTTTTCCATAGGAGATAAGCTCAGTGTTGGGCAAGCTACTTGGAAAATGTAGTGAGCTAAGCTACAGCAACACAAAAGTAGCTTAGTTACATCTAAGTTACTTCAATTTTTTAAATATTCTATAGTTAGGTCGTGTGTGTGTGTGTGTGTGTGTGTGTGTGTGTGTGTGTGTGTATATATGTGTGTATATATATATAAACCATTGTTGTTTGTATAAAGTAACTTAATTATCACATTTTCATGTGTATATGTGTATGTCATGTAATACTATTTCTTATTTTAATAATTGTTCCTTTGAAAAATTATACTGCTTGTCAAAAAGCAAGACATATTTTTAATGTAACAAAGGCCTATATTGTGTTTTTGTTGTTTTTATTCCTCTTTCTTTAGTTTTTATAATGTCATTTCATTGTTTATTAATTATATTTTTTTCATTGTTTATATGTGAATTTGTGCTCTGGCAACATTGCAACCTAAACATTCATGGAAATAGGTCTGAGAGAGTGAGAGAGAGAGAGAAATGTCTCATCTCATCTCATGGAAACAAGTTTCTGCCACTACATATGAAAGTTTCCTTCTCAGTAGGAAAAGGTGTCCAGGCTGGACCCTGATCCTTCTCACAAGAAGTGTTACAGTAACTATCACAATTAAAAGTAAACTCAGTCACGTGTGTCTATATTCCCATGCAGCAAAGTCACAGACATCAGCCCAAGGATTGGTACGTGATGTCACCGTCACACGGAAGCTACCGCGCTACTCGGTCAATAAAAGAGCTTTGTTACTGAAAAGCTATTTGATTCAGAAAATAGCGACGCTACCACCAAGCTACTGAGAAATGTAGTTAAGATAGTAATGGTGCAACTTGTAGTGATGCTACTGCCCAACACTGGATAAGCTTAGTAAACTTTAGAGCGGACATTTCTTTACATTCAGTCTACGTTTCTTCTCCTTCTCTTATGTGGCACCTCCTTTGTTTTTTTCTTCTTTTAGTTATCTGACGGAGTTTGGATTCACCATCCCAGACAGACCAATCATGGTTGATGACATCAGAGTGAGGGGTTGTGGGAAATCTGGAATCAAATCGGTGTATAAAACAAAGATGGGACATGGACAGGCCAAGCCAGTCACGGTACACATACAGCGGAAATTATCATATATGTAAACACACAGACGAATTCTTACAACTTAGACAGGGAATAACAGATAACAGATAATTTTCTTTTAATTCCCTCCCCTTCCTTTTACAAACATATATTATGCTGAACAATTAAAACACTTATGAATTAAATAGTTTTCAAAGGTATGAAAAGTCAGAACAAAATTTTGGTCTGGAAACAGTTATCATGTGGCCATTTTATCTGTTTCTTCTTCCCTGTAGACGACCAAGTGTTACTTTGAGGAAGGTTACATGGACACCAGTGTGTATCTATGGGAGGAGCTACCATGTGGTCAAAGCATCCAGGGACCAGCCATCATCATCGACAAAAACAGGCAGGCATTTTCCCATTAATGCTAATTCTAGCTTTCAAATAAACATAAACATCAATGAAGCCCTTTTCTCTTTTTTTTTTTTTTAAACGTCCCGAGATGATCAAAATCAGATCCTGTTTTTACTGAATTCTACTGCATTTTGCCGGCCTGCTAGTGTTGCATACAGCTGTGAGTGTTTCTGTAGTCACATAAACTCCACCAGAGTGAGACGTCTTCTCTAACTGATCGCTTCACATTTGTTGAAGAAATATTGTGATCCAGGTTTAGGTGTGGTGAAGAAGTTTCAGAGACTGATGAAGACTTAACATAGCATGGTTTATTGAGCCCAGCCAAGTTGCTACAGTGCCAGTGCTAATCTGAAGGATTACATCTTTTGGTCCCTTTTTATGTTTCTGTCTTCCCCTTACTGCCTGTAGTGTTTCCCCTCATCTGTAACTGGTCTTAACCTAGAACAACTAATCTATCTGATGTTTAGATTGCAATGCTACGTCATATTGGAAGATTCTTAAAACTCAACCTTGCCAGATTCCCAGAGAACACCGATATCTACTAGCCTGACGCCTGAGCTACTGTCTATCCCTTATCAGTCTAACTGTTGTCTCCTTAACAAGGACAATTACATGAATAAAATAACTAGAGTTGGAAGGTCACTAAACACTTGTGGGCTCAGCTAATGACTCCAAGCTATACCTGTCTTACCTTTCCCTGGTACATCAATTAAGCCCCCTAATAAATATTCTTTAACAACGTCAGTTTCAGGAGGAAACAGGTCATATTCTCCAAGTTAAACTTTCATTCATATTATGTCAACAAATTAAGCTTATCAACTTTATAGTTTTGAATCAGGACCTTCAATATTTGTATCAAGTAGGTTGTGAAAAAAACAAGGTGTGCTGCAGCTGTAATTTCAGTGTGTCAGATATATATTTAATAAACATGTAGGTAAATATAAATATTGGATCGGACTCCATAAGACTCAGATCGAAATCAGGGACAAATCAGGACTACCTGCTTTTTTATTATAGTATAGCATAGTGTACTTCAATGTTAAATTTGTTTCTTTAAAGTCAGAATATATATATATATATATATATATATATATATATATATGCTCACACACACAGAAACATGCTCGGAAACATCCACACATCCACTGTACTTACTTTTTCTGGGTTAAGTTTGAAGTGAACTTGTATAAATTTATACTTTTATCTGCTCCATCAGTACCATCCTGGTGGAGCCGTGCTGTGAGGCCCGTCTGACAGAAGGGGGCGATGTTTGTATGACTGTAGGCTCCGACCCTCACTACGCCCTTGGCACTGAGCTCAACACTGTGCAGCTGTCCATCTTCTCCCACCGCTTCATGAGCATAGCAGGTACACCAGCAGAGGCGAGAGGATGAGGAGGGGGTTGGAAGATTGTTGGAGAGAAACTAGAAGGAAGGAAGGCAGAAAGCGAGGGAGCATGGAGTGAAGTGGAGTATTTATTTCCTGTCTGCTTGCTCAGTTGTGTTCCATCTCTGTTCCCCTACAGAACAGATGGGTAGAGTTCTCCAAAGAACCTCCATCTCCACCAACATCAAGGAACGTCTCGACTTCTCCTGTGCTGTGTTCGGGCCAGATGGTGGTTTAGTGTCAAATGCACCCCATATCCCTGTCCACCTGGGAGCCATGCAGGAGACCGTCCAGTACCAGGTGAGGGATGTGTACCTCTGAGTTTAGACATGCTACTGAAACACCAAAGACACTAAAAACACTAAAACACCCCATTCTGACAGACAGGATGTTGTGTTTCTTCTTCTTTTCTCTGCAGATCAGATCATTAGGGAACACGCTGAAAGAAGGCGATGTGATTCTGAGTAACCACCCATGCGCTGGGGGCAGCCACCTCCCAGACCTCACAGTCATCACACCGGTCAGTCTGTCTGTCTACATCCTTGCTCTCCCCGTTATCAATCTTTTCTTTTTACTATATACCTCCTTTCCTTGTTCCTCCCCCTTTTAACCCCAGGTGTTTAGGAAAGGGGTGAGTGGGCCAGTGTTCTTTGTAGCCAGCAGGGGGCACCATGCTGACATTGGAGGCATCACCCCGGGCTCCATGCCCCCCCACTCCACCTCTCTACAGCAGGAGGGTGCCGTCTTCACTTCCTTTAAACTCGTCACAGGGGGCATCTTCCAGGAAGAGGGTAAGAGAGGAGGAGGTGAAGCAAGCATGAAAGTGAGAGACTGATGAGAGGGGGTCAGAGATAATACAGAGCTGTAGCTTGTTGACAAAGTAAAGCTATTTTTAAAGCATACCAACTTATGAATTTGGTAATTTCTCGCATTAAAAAGTTGCTGTTTGGCAGCAGACTGACATCTCATGAATCAGAATGTCTTAAAACACACCATTAAGGTATTTTTAATATAGCCACTGCTTGCAAGTAGGGGTGTGAATTTTCGTGGCCTGTCTTCGATTCGATATCACGGTGCGTTACCTCTAGGGTGAGAACCTCTAGGTACCTTACGATTTGTTTACGATTATGAGGGCTACGATGCAATTGTAACACCATTCTCACTGTGTGAACACTTTTAAACTTTACTTTCAAAGCAAATAATTTATAATAATCCAACCAAGTAGGTAGTAATTACATGTGATTATTTTACTTTACTCCCTAACTTTACATAGCATTATTTCAGATTTACTACTGACCTCTGTTGCTGCTATTTTCAGTTCGGATGCTACTGTTATTAGTATAGATTCAGATCCGGGCTTCACCACGCACTTTACAATGCTCCAGCCACAGTTCACTTTGCCTTAATTGAGCTGTTTGGGTTTTTTTTGTGTCATCTTGTGTAGTTAACGTTACATGGTTGTATTGTGTCTTGTCTTGTAAGGAGATTATTGTAATCTTGCTAAACGGCATTTTGTTCATTTGTGTACCAGTTATGTGGATGAATGACTTGAACTAGCAGCCAAAAAAAGGTGATGTTAGCTTTTCTGCTCAGCTTCCAGACCTCAGTCTGAAGAGATGTTAGCTAGCACAAACTGCCTTCACTTTTACGGCAGTTGCAAAACAGACAGACAGACTTTAATTAACGGATACACTGTGACCTACACTGTACATTTACTACCAGACTGAAACTTGGAGCTCATCTTCTTATCAACATTCAGATAATCGATTTGACATTTGCGAATTTATTCAGAAACGTCCAAGTCCGAATTGCAATACATCTAAGAATCAACTTTTCCCCCCACCCCTACTCTCAACTGTGTTATAACGCAACAGTAAGTTAACAAGTAAATTTAAAGTGACTGGGTTCATTCTCTGGAATGACTTTTTTAGCATAATGAAGTGACTGTAAACCAGTGGCTGAAATCAGTGTAAAACCTTAATGCTTGCTTTGGGAAATGATCAGCAGTAATCTTGATTATATGTGTACATATGTAGTTAATGCTCTAAACATGCAAAACCAATGCCCTCTGAGGAGAGCTGATGAATCAATTTACATCTTATTTAACATTCACCTCACTTTCTTCACTCTCACTTCCCATAATGCTTTACTGTTTGTCTGTTTTTCCCCACTGGATTTCTCTCTTGTTTTTTCCCACTGGATTTCTCTCTTGTTTTTTCCCTCTGTCTCCATATCAGCTGTAACTGAAGCGCTGATGGCTCCGGCCCAGTACCCAGACTGCTCTGGGACTCGTAATCTGCATGACAACCTGTCAGACCTGCGAGCTCAGGTGGCAGCCAATCAGAGAGGCAGCCAGCTGGTGGGGGAGTTGATTGACAGTTATGGGTTAGCCGTGGTCCAGGCCTACATGGGATACATTCAGGTAACTGTGGCTACAAATGAAACCATAAAAACTAAATATTACTATTCTGAAAAGTAATAAGTACTGCTGGTGCTGCGCTACCACAACCTATGTGTTCATGTTTCAGAGTAACGCAGAGCTGGCAGTGAGGGACATGCTGAGAGACTTTGCACGTCGTCGACGGCAACAGACTGGCTCGTTGGAGGTGGAGTCGGAGGATTTCATGGATGATGGGACGCCAATCAGACTGCGGGTTCAGATAAATGAAGAAGAGGTTAGCAGGGAGAACCTCCTCATGATGCACGGAGAAGATGAATTCAGATCATTTCTTAGAGTGAATATGCAGTAAAATGTAAAAATCCTCCGTCACCACAGGGCAGTGCGGTGTTTGACTTCACAGGAACGGGAACAGAGGTTTGGGGGAACTGCAATGCTCCACGCGCCATCACACTCTCTGCCCTCATCTACTGCCTGCGCTGTATGGTCGGACAGGACATCCCCCTTAATCAGGTAAAGTGGTTTATTCCAAGACCCATGGGTGGGTTTTATGTCAAGTTTGATTACATTTTTTTAAAGCAGGCACGCTCAGTCGGGCTGCTTTGTGATGTCATGATCAAACCCAATAACTCGGATGTTTTTGACACCTGCAAGGAAAACTTCCCCCACTACTGTCAGGAAACGGATTAAATTTTTTATTCAGATGCTTGAGAAATGATATTCGATTGCAATTACCCACTGTTCAAATAGTTTTTTTTATTCAACTGTTTCCTTTTGTCAAATCCAGGGCTGTCTTGCACCAATTAAAGTCATCATACCCCCTGGCTCAATCCTTCAGCCCTCCCAGAATGCAGCTGTGGTTGGAGGAAATGTACTCACATCCCAGAGAGTGGTTGACGTCATATTTAGGGCTTTTGAGGTGTGCGCCGCTTCTCAGGTGAGAAAAACTAGATTTGTACATAAAGAAATGTCACCTCTCCTGTTTTCTTTGTGGTGTTTGCTTAGTTATTGTCGTTCCTCTTTCCATCAGGGCTGCATGAACAACATTTCATTTGGCAGTGAGAGGATAGGTTACTATGAGACAGTTGCTGGTGGAGCGGGGGCCGGGCCAGGCTGGAGTGGGCGGAGTGGAGTTCACAGTCACATGACCAACACCCGCATCACTGACCCTGAGATTCTGGAGAAGAGGTCAGACAGAAGAAACTTAAAGTCTAAATTTGTTGTGTCCCGTAATAATAATGGTCTAAAAAGTATAATTGGTCTGTATGTTGCTGCTGTCCGTGTGGCCTTCAGATATCCAGTCATTTTAGAGCAGTTCTCTCTGCGGCCTGGTTCAGGAGGTGCAGGAAAATACTGCGGTGGAGACGGTGTAATGCGGAAACTTTTGTTCAGGAGCAAGGTGGTTCTGTCTGTACTGACCGAGAGGAGATCCACCCGCCCCTACGGCCTCCAGGGTAAATTCTGACCCTTTGAACCTCTCTACAAAAATCTTCAGCAGCTATTATCATGATAGCGTCTTCCTTAGTGATTAGTGGCCTCTTTCTTTCTTCTACTGTTTATACTCTAACCTCTCTAACCTCTCTCTGCTGGTTAGGGGGTGAGGAGGGTGCAGCAGGGCTGAACCTGCTTCACAGGGCAGACGGCCGAGTCCTCAACCTGGGAGCCAAAACCAGCATCAGCCTTCAGCCTGGGGTAAGACTGTGTAATGTGTGAAACAAAAGCTATCAAGTATACAGATTATTGCACTACTTATTCCAAATAACTACACTACAATAACAAACCTATTTTTGTAATTTTACATGAAAAAATATTGTATTCTAATAACAAATAACAAATAACTGAAAGAAAACATCTTAAGACGGCTTCTGACTTCACATATGATACCATAACATGTGCTAAATCTAGCTTTACATTTCAAATATGGCCATTCACTCTGAAAGTAATCAAAATACTTATTGGTTAATCCTTTACATTTTATCATTTTGATCAGGTAACTGTTATAAACTGATGATTTGTGTGCTGAATCCTCTGTCTGTGTGTCTCCCCCAGGACATGTTCTGCCTCTATACCCCTGGAGGAGGGGGGTACGGAATAGAGGAGGATGTGAACAGGAGACCCCAGACCAAGCGCAGGCGCTTAAATAAGACTTTCCCCGAGAGAGGAAGCGTCTTTGAATACCGAATGGCACAAGAGGGAGTGTGAAAAGAAATAAGAAAGAGAGGTAGAGTTAACAGACAGGCCAGAATAGGAGAAGGAAATTACTCAAGCAGAGTGAGGGCTGGGAAAGACAACCAGAGTGGGGCTCTTTGTCAAAGGTGGAAAGATTATTTAAAGTGACTGAAAAAAAACAGTGGCAACAAGCATTATAGTGTGAGGAATAAAGAAAGCACATACTAAAGTTAGCTAAACAACTGAAGCCTAGAAACAGAAATGTCACATTATCATGGTTTATGGAACAAATTCACAGGCCAGGTGACTGAATAGGAACAGATCAGGCTATAACATTAGGCAGATTTGTGTGATGGACACAAAACATGTTGATCAGATAAATTTAACATTTTGTTTGTTAATTGGAATATTTTTCTTATTAGACAAGAAAAATCTCAGTAACCCCAAGAAAGTTTTGCAGTCCTGTTTTGATAATAAGTATTTGCCGTGTTAGCCAACACATTGTGTATATTTTTGCCTACTGTAATGTTTTTCACTTTTTAAATGGTTTCCAATCTAAAACTGGTCAAACATGTGAAACATGCTAATCTGTTTTTACCTGGATCAATAACTTAGCTAACACCATGAGGTTCTTACTGTTCTGTTATTTTAACAGGACAAATAAACCCAGTTTCTACTAATGACGTTGCCCTTGTCCCCCCCCAGTCCTGTCTTTCAAAGAAAACGGTTTAATTTAATTATTTCTGGTTGTAAGACAGGGGGAATCTGTTTGGTGAAATGATTGCAAAGATTTAGCAAATCATACTGTGAAATTCAATTGTGACGTGGTTCTTTTAGCATGCTCTATCTCCATATCATTTTAATAATGTAATGTTGCTCTTGTTGCATGTAACATTGATTTGACTTATCAAAAATATTTGTTTATTGCGTAAGCTGTTCAAATTATTTGAGCCTTTACTGCTGCCAGGTGTTATTGATCAGGGACTTGCAACAGTTACACGTACAACACACCAACATCCAGTCATGCATCCAAACAAACATTCTGGCTTGTAGAGATACAACCCAGAATGTGTGTTTGGGGGGGTCCCTGTTTAAGTGGTGTCCCCTCCTCCCATCTTTTGGTCAGGAATGATTTGGGAGAAGAGGAGGAAGGATGGTGAGGGAGTGCAGGCATGCGTAGGCAGCTGATAAAGAGATAGTGGAAACAGCAGGAGGCTGACGGCTGCTGGACTGTTGATGTAAATCAGCTGTGTGTGCTGGAAACTCCAATGCAGAGGCCACGGACTGTGGATCAAAGATAGTTTCCTTGTTTATAGTTCACAATTCCTGTGGTAAAACAATCTATCATAATAAGAGGATTTGAGACACCCCCTGCTGCTGCCTGGAACAATCTCTCCATCTTTACACTTATAGGAGAATGTGAGACACAAGCATGAATCAAGACAAAGTCCTTATTTATGACAAAATATCCAGTTAATTCAAATGCTTTGTCAAAGAAGAAAATTGCAACACTTGCATCAGCCAATCTGTCTGGAGATGGAAAAGCATCTACATAATATTTTGTTGGTTACATTATAACAGCATGCCATTAGTAATGCTCAGACTAATAGCAGCACTAATAACAGAACTAGTGGCTTCTGTATGTTAGGAAACAGAGTGAAATTGTAAAAGTGGGAAAACACTAAAGTTAAGCAACAAAACAATTTCTCAGATTGTTTAAGTATCTCCATTTTCTGTTACTTTATACTTCTCAGAAGGAAATATTGTACTTTTTACTCCATTGATTTTGACAGCTGGAGTTACTTTACAAATTAGGATTTTTTTTTAAACTAAAAAAAATAAGACATTGGTAAAGATAAAACTCAACAAAATATAAAATTGTCCAAATTAGTTCCACCGTGGCCAGCTACAATAATAAAATTATATTTACATATGTTACAATCTAATGTCATGTTATGCAACTCACATTTTTACTTTTCATTTGAATATTTATATCCTGCTAGTTTTACAAGTGCATATTTTACATTTTAGGCACCAAATGACTACAAAGTCAGATGGGAGGCTATTGTGGTGTTTTTACATTATACTGTGCATCTCTCATGCACCTCCTGATGTTACTGCTTCAACTCTTCCTCTAGCTGCCATGAGAATTTAGAACTTTGTATTTACCAATGGGAAAGATGCCACCATGACTGTCTGAAAGTCTTAATTTATGCAACTTAAAAATACACTTTGCGCCAAGACAGTTTCCTCGATTGGAGCACAAGTTCTCAATTCAAAATGGTCAAATTCTACAATATGGAAGAAAAAGACTGTAGCAAAGTAAATACAGTGACAAAGTAGAATCCAACATGTACGAATAACATGAACATAAAGTTGTTTGAGATTGTGCAGTTTTCATTAACTTGTTTCTATACACACACACCATTGAGCAGCACAGTTAAAATAAACAGCGTTTTATTACATACCCTGTTGAACTCCATAACCTTCTTTTGATACTTAAACCTCTGAGCTGCTTTCACTTCAGCTCAGTACTGTACAAACCTTTAACAAGACCACAGGCAAATGGCAAAAATCTGACAAAACATTCACCCGTCAAGGTAGGTAGGTATTTATAAGCAATTTCCTTTGGAAGACCATCATAATGACATCAAAATAGTGCAAATAACCAGCAGTGCAAAGTCCACAGGAAACATTAATAAACAGAGGCAGATACTGGTTGAATAGTGGTTGATTGTTTCCTGTGTCTTGAGAACGTGCAGCCTTTTTTACACATCAACTATAATCTAAAATATAGCCCATTTTATGGCTACAAATAGTCTTAATGTAATGTGAAACAGTCAAATCTCAAAACACCACCACAGAAAACATCAGTTAACACCCTAAATGAAAAGCCAAAAATTGGGTGAAATTGCAGAAAGGCTTTTTTTAGGTCAATATGCTATTGTAGCTGCACTGGACCAATGCAGACAGTCCAGACTTACTGAAATTTAAGGTAAATGAAGGTAAACGACTTGTTCTGTATATTTCTGTGTGCATGCAAGGAAAAATAGATGTTTCCACTGAAATGATGCTAGTTATTTACCAAATAATCCTATATTCTGTTTAAAATGCTGTCAGGAAAAACAGTAAAAAAAAATAATTTGACACAATATACTGTACGTACCATCTACAGTTGGTTTTTCACATAACTGTAAAATTCAAGATTATATCCAACAATACATTCAGCGGCCACAACAGGTAGACATGTGTGTAAGGAAGCAAATTCATGGCAATAAAAAGCTGTACAAATAAGACAGTCAGTGCAAAGAGCCTGTAGTAATACACACTCCATTTCCTTGAAAGACTGAGGTAGATACTTGTTTTGTTGTATAGCTGTTTGAGGTCCATTTTCTCCAGGTAATACTCCACAAAATGATGAGAAACAAGAGGGTATTTGAATCACTGACATTTCAGCTTGCTAAAAACCTGAATCCATTCCTTATGCTGTGTGTAGTTCAGTGACCTTTTGCATAATAAGCTGTGAACAACTCTTGAGCTGGAGGTTGTGATTAAACCTCCCTCCCATCTGTGCGTGTTTGAGTGACAGTATGGTTCAGTTAAAGTAAAAGGAGTCAGTATTTCAGAGTAAGTCAGTACTGAGGGTACCTGTTTAGGGGAGGCCCATTCTGCAGGGTGTACTGACTGGGTGGTTGATGATGTGAATGAGAGTTTTGATTGGTTGGTACTAAAACGTCAAACACGCTCTTATTTGGAGGCACAGATTGCAACATGTTGTCCAGGTCCATGATGAGGGGAGGGGCTTGGACAGAAACACGTCCACTGGGGAGGATGGGCCAATAGGCATGACTTAAGAAGTGACTAGGTGCCACGGGAGAGCCACTATAGCCGTAAATGGGAAGTCCACTATGCAGTGGCATTAGAGGACCTCCGTTGAACCGCATGCTGGGTGGGGCAACAGCATTGGGGGGAGCGTATTTGGCGTAGGAGGTAGGGAGCTCCCATGGCGGTGCAACAGTCTCCCGTCGGGCCAACTTGTGCAGTGGCGGCCTGAAGTCCTCATAACCATCTGACCCAGCTTCACCATCAAGAGGAATACGCTTGCCAGAAAGGGACATCCCTTTCCATTCCTCATCAGAGGAGGAGGAGGTGGAGGCCGGGCTCGCAGAGCTGGCCGAAGCACTACGGGCAGAGGAGGCGTAGCGGGGTCGTGGAGGTGGCGAAGAGTGAGGGCGCTCCACCTTGCCCCAGCAGTCGCTGGTAGACACATCCATATCCTCAGAGGCACTAGGTGGCCGCAGGCTGTGTAGCAGAGAGTCGATGGCGAAGGACGAGTCCAGCCTGGGTCGGAACAAATCCTCCTGCGGTGGGGAGGGGTTTGTGGAACACATAGGAGGGAGGGCTGGGACAGCGGCAGAGGGAGGCACCGATTCTGGCTTGTGTCCCTGCAGGATATAGGGGGCCAGATCTTGGGCAAAGATGGTCTCATCCTGCCGCGATACAGCCGTGTTTTGCCTCTTGAGGAGCTCCAGAGGAACACGGCTCAACTCCACCGACCAGAAGTTGCCTTTGCCCTGAGGCTTCCCTGGGTCCTTCAGCACCTACAGGTGGAGGGAGGATGGACAGTGAGATGAGCACTTGACTTGATAATCTAGAGAGAGCTTTAAGTGTCACAGTTTACCATCTCAATAACAGTGGTTGAAAGATAAAATCTTAAAACCAGTTTGAAGGTTCTCAAGCGTATTTCTACAATGATTAAAGAGGATCACAAACCTCAGGGCAGGGCAGTGCAATGCAGATGTTAATCTTCTATTTTGGGAAGCTTTTCCATCAAGCACACTGATGAGACTAACCAGGATTTAACCATAAAATTGTCTAACAGTTTTCAACATACATACCTTCACAAAGCAGTCATAAGAGGAGAGATTGTGTCGCACAGAATCCCGCCAGCCCTTGTAGTTTCCTTTGAAGAATGGGAATAAAGTACTGATCTCCTTGAGGATCTAGAAATCAAAACAATACGTCAGTATGGCTGTCTGAAGAAGATGCTCTTCTTTGCCATATTTCAGTTTGGGTAAGCTATGCAGCAGACCAATGCTAAAGACATACTGATGTGGTGACATAACATTGATTTTAGAGCTTTAAAGTTAATGTAAGGGTAATTGGGCAGAAGTGGATGCCAACTACACATGATGTACAATTCACTTCAAGTTGTTTAGTTATTTAAAAAAGATGAGAATGGATATTAACACTTAAAATATGAGAAATTAAGTTGTATGGGCAATATAACAACTTCAGAGAAGCCATGCTACTAACTGAAAGGTGATTTTACCATGAACTGTAAATCTTATCACGTTCCTGATACAGATCAGTGTCTGGTTTCACTGCAGTGCAACCTTATCAAAGCACACCAAGAATGGTAGTGGTGGTATTCACTTACCAAGAGGCTGCTGTTTTGTGTCATAGATCATGAACTGTAAATGATACGTTTGTCAGTGGGTAATCGTCAGCTATGTTTAATAGAAATGTGACATTTACTCTGATTAAACGTACAGGAACCTACTTTACTAATACAACTATACTACAGAGTCTTGTACTTCACCTGAGATTTATTTCAATAAAATGCTGCGGGACAAAAGTGAACATCATAAGCAGCACCGTGCGTAAAACACACCATGAGCCATCTTTACCAAAATACTTCCAGAATAGCACTGGGAACTCAAACACGTGAGATAGAAATTAATTCTTACCTCAGATAGCGTCAGTTTCTTCTCTGGGGACCTCTGGATGACCATAGCAATCATAGCAAGATACGAGTAAGGTGGTTTTGGATACCGCTGATAGTTCTTTTTCTTCCCAGCGCTGCTGCTACTCTTCTCCCGGTCATTGTTCCACGATTCCGGGTTAACAGTTTCCCGTTTGTTGCTGGCATCTTGCGGATTCGGGTATGATGAGCCCGGTGGTACGGCTTTATCCATGAATGCCGTGGCACTGGTGAGTTGTTCGGGCAGCGCTGCGGGCTTCTCCAAACGCGACTGCTGCTGGGGAACCATCTGGGCCGGGTGTTGAGGCCAGTGCTGGGTTGGAGTGCTCCGCGCTACGCCGCGGGGAGGAAAACTCTGCAGCGCATTTCTGTGGAAGTCAAGTTGATTGTCGTGGTGTTCTCCAAGGTGGGACAGAGAGGGTAGTGCCAAGAGGCTCTGCTCCCACCAGTGTTTTGTCATGCTGATCAGCCGGGGGGTTCGGACAGGAGCACGGAGAGGGGGAGGGAGGTCAAATAGTCGGTCCTTAACTTCTGGCAGACTGCTGGCTCCAGGCTGACTCTATTTGAAGAGCAAACAATTAACAGTTTCATGTAAACCCCGCTGCGTAATCTAGGGGAGAATGAGGCGTTATCTGAGTGTAGCATGACTGATCGCCCCGGGGTGCTGGGGAGGGTCTGTGTAAGAGGAGGGGCGAGAGAAAGACAGTAAACCTGTAAATAACCCTTATGATAATATCAACGTGCCACTTACAAAGCAGAGATTCCGAGTTTGCTTTGGAATCAAAGCTAAGAAGATTTACGCATGAAGGCCTAAAGCATTAAGTGAGCATTTGGAGTAGGCGATACACTTACCACAATTACATTTAATAACTACAGAGACAATGACAACATCTCCACCTTACTATCTATATTTAAACCATAGAACATGTCATATTAGCTACATAAAACCATCAAGACTTTCTTCTAGAGAGTGACACTTGGGCGCAGAGGCGAAACGCGCCACGTATGGGGGATGGGGCGGGGTGCAAGAGAGAAAAGTGATTTCGATTGAAGCTTACGTGCAATCAACAATTTTTGGTGATCAATATACATAAGGAATGGCTAATATACAAATGTAAGAAATTGGAAATTGCAGCAGTTTACGAGAAATACCTTTAAATATGCTATATCAAATGAATTAGTCTCTAAAGTATTTGAGTCATTGGAATTCCTTTTAAACTGAGGATTACGCTGAAAATTAACCAAGTTGCATAGTAGGCTATTATTGATAGAGGGTAGCCTGGTTCCACAGAGCCAGCCATGCACATGTAAACCACTCAAAAAAACTATTCTATTCTGAGGACAATTTACAATTTGTAAGTGGTCAGATATGCTGAATAAATAATTTTGTGGCGGTGCTTAGAGATAGCGCAAAAGTCGATGGGTGCGCACAGTAGGGGCTCCCTGTGACTATGCAGGGTGTCATTCAGTGGTGAAAGACTAACTTTCGGGAATGCATGTCTTTTGTTCAAGCTAATGTAGGGCTAATGTGCAAACGCTTTCTTCCCAGCAAGACAGTGAAAACAAGTTGGATTAGAAAGACCCCCATTGCCAAGCTGGAGACTGTCCCTTCCCAGAGAAGCTGCTTAGCATGTGAGGAAATACAGGGGGGGGCTATTCAACACCATTTGTGGGGTTTCTGGCGCTTACAAGCTGCTAAGTGTCCTTGTTAGGTAGGAAATTCACACCTTAAACAGGAGCAATCATGTTTTCCCGAATTGTTGGAAACGGCCTCAAGATATCTCGCAAACAAAAACAGCTTTACACGATCCAAGAATCAACAACCTACAGTGACTTTCTACATCGTGTTGCACACACAGCCTCTGACTACAGCCCTGATGTTTTATTTATGTTAAACCTTTTTTTTATATATAATTTCCACAATTCATCTGATAAGATAATGAAACGCGGCTCTTGTACCACCAAGGCGTGTCACCAGAAAGACACAAACAAAAGAACTGGAAACAAGTCGATTTCACATTGAGACTTTTCTAATTGATGTCACACAACTTAAACAGGACTGCTTAATTAAGTGACATTTTGACATGAAGTGTGTGGCTACCTGCAGAATGTATTCACCTTCAATTTGAAGTGCTACGGAGCGTTTTCCTTTGATGGCACCAAATAACATCTGACCTCTCCATCATTTAGGCCTAGTTTTAAATTCCCAATTAACAAGACAGATGGCAGATCCTGTTTATCGGGTGTCTGCAGAAATAAAGAGGACTGCTTGATGATAGTTGATGTTGCCCTTAGTGGAAAAATTTACCACGTGAATTTACAGCTTTGGTATTTTTTTGCAGTAAAATTCAAAATGTTTGTGGTTGTTTTCCAGGTCAGATAGCTTCCCTACCATAGTGAGAAACAAACCTCCTCACCTGCTGCATATTGCATCAGTACTTTTCTTCTCTGGTTGTCACACACTGTTAGTACAGAAAGTGTGTCCCCCTCTAGTGGTTTCACTCAAACTTCAGTGAGAAGCTTGACTCACTCCTGCAAATGAAGGTCTCCAAAAATCAAGCAGCCACTTAAGAGTGCTTTCTCATTTGATGGAGTTTCACATCAATGAGAATTGGCTTTCACTGTGTGAGCTGGAAAATTAAACACGTACAGGCAAACCCCTCCCTCGTCATACACAATGTTTGGACCCAATTTACATGCCTTCACATAGAGAAGTGATTTAAATACAAACTGTCAATCTATCTCTTCCTGTCTACTGGAGTGCCAGTTAATAGGTTTTGGCTGGATTAGTGAGCCATGCATGAGAAGAATGGGAAACCGTATGAATAGGATAGCATGCAGGACAAGGCTGTTCACATAGGCTGATTGTGTCTAGACAAATCCCTGCTAAGCTGCCCTGAAATGCATCCTGAAACTGAGATGGAGAGGAGGAATGACATGTAGCTAATCTGTGTTGTATAAAGTATTACTTTTTTCTTTGCTTTATTATTTATTTTTGTTTATTTAACGGACATGATACACATTATATTTACTGCACCAAGTATAGCTAAAAGCTCATTCCCATCTGTAGTCCCTGTGTGGAGGCCTCCTGTCTGCATCTTGCAAACTGTATTAGGCTCCATTGTAAGACTTGGTTCACTCGAATTATTTATTTATTTTGCTTTCATCTAGTGGTATCCAGACATGCCACTTTTGATATATGAATGTCATTAGTCACACAATCTCTCAACAATTCAACAGCAACATCTCTTTTCAGAAATGGTGCCCCAGTTTCTCTGGAAAATCCACAAAACACACAGTCAAAAGTGCTCATAAGGACTATTTTGTCGGGGGAAAGAAGTGTCACTGAAAACTGTTCCCAGTGAAGTCCTATAGATTATTCAGAGTACGCTGGATGCTGTTTCAGGAAACATGCATTGATGACATTTTAAAATGTAATTTTTTAATGCTGTGAGCTTCAAAAAGGAAATTTAATTCACCATTCACATTGCTGTGAATACAGACATCTCTTTCTGTACTTTACTTCCTCTGTGTGTATAGCCCATATACTCATTTTATCTACTTTGCATGGTTTTATTCACTTTGTATCAACAAAGTGAATAAAACACTTTGTGTTGTTAAGAAAGATGCATTATTAATAAAATGTATTATTATTATTAACACATAAACACATATATCTAAATCTGGGTACTGACTATTAACTGTTTTCATTGCTCTTTTATTTGCAAACATGTCATGCAAAATGTTCCTGTTTTAAACACTATAAAGGGCAAGTACTGCACTGTGTCTTATCCACAGGACCAGAGATGTAACCGTAGCTCATGCTCCCAAGCTGTTTCCTTATTGCGTCTCTGCAGAGTGTCACTGGCTGCTGTGTTGGTTGGCCAGTTCACTGCAGGGGTCAGCAGATCACAGGGTCGCCAGTGCATATCTGTTTCTAGCAGCTGATTCTGATACTACTGGGAGCTTGCTTATGATTAAGAAACCAGTCACACAATCCAACTGCTTGGAAACTCTCCAACTGTGCAGATGGTTCACTTTATTAAATTGATATTTAATTATGTGGATGTTATAGGAGTACATGTTCAGGCTTGTGTTCAGTACATTGTATAACCAAGAGGGAAAACACACCTTAACAGTTTATTGTGAAAAGACTTCAGTCCATTCATATTTAGCAAAACAGATTTACAATATTAAAACTTTAATTATGTGACAGAAACATAGCTGTACAAACACATACTTTTGCATGCAAACACACCCTTTACACTGGGCTTAATAAACAAGGCTATGGTGCTTTTGCACTATGGCATGTCACACCTACTTGTTTCTGTAAAGTCAGTGTGCTTTCTCCTTCCTTAAGGGTGTCTGTAAAAATTAGGATATAAGTCAGTATTGTAACACAATTTCAAGTAATACAAATACTTTCATTTATGTACTATATATTGCTATTTTAAAATTGATTAGAAATGGTCTTTTTCTCCTCATCTCTATTTATTTCCTTCTATTGCTGCTACAGATGATAATGAATACATATTAGGTACATATTGACCCCTCACACAAAATTAGCCTTGCGTGTACTCTTTGATAATTGTTCTTGAACTTTGTGTGTCCTGGCAGCAGTGTCTAACGTAGAGTCTGTTGTTTTCTAAGATTTTCTTTTAAATACCACTAATGTGTTCATTGTGACAGGGTGGGCTGCAGCAAACCTCAATGGTGCTGGAAATGGCAGCAATGGCAGCTTCATTAGGGATGAGGAAAGGGAAGTCTCATCCCTGATCTTGGACTAAAGAAAGCTAAATTAAAAAATCCAGCCAGACATCTGTGGTTTTTTATCCATACCTCAGCAGTCTTATTCAGTCTTGATCATTTCCAGAGTTAACCAATGCTCAACACTGACATAGTTGAGCGACCTACCCACATCTTAATTTCTTCTCATCTTGACTACTGGAATTCATTACTTACTTGCTTCATTGATACATTATTTTCTCATCTACACTGAGTGAAGGAAGCATACACCAGACACAGAAATCATGCCTCTTTGGTCTGGCTGGATTACATTAGCTCTCTAGTCATTTTAGGATTAATTTTTTTGTATAAATTTTTGGTTTGGACTCATTATGTTTCTGATCTTTTAACTTGTTATCTTGCACCATTACCCCAAAGGTCTGGCATCCAAAGGTTGTAAGTTCTAAGTTTAAGACAGAGGGGGATCCTGCTTTAATGTTTTAGCTCAAACACTGGGGTGCAAACTTCCCCTCAGTATCTCAGCGGCTGAGTGAGTCTATTTAAAATGTTTAGCTGTTAAAACCCACCTGTATAAGGTTTTATCTCTCTATGTTGGACCAGTCCCTGATATTTTTTGTTATATTCCATGTTACTGTATTTTATGTGACATTGTAAAAAACCTTGTAACTCTTGTTTTGAAGGGTGCTATAGTATTATATAGAAGCGGTGGACTGAAGAGTAGCCTAACATAAAAACATGGCATAAAAACTGCATGCACCACGGCTTGCAATGCTTTGTCGCCCTCTGGTGGCGACCATCCTTCAGGAGGAGAGGGTGCAAGTCCGGTTGTTATGGTGAAGCATTTCCCCTGAGGGTTGGCTGCAGCAGGAGGAGCAGGGGACAGCAGCTGATTCAGTTTCACAGCCGCAGACCTGCACAGGAGCACAGTCAAGTCAACAGGTAAGGTGTCCCCGCGTTGTTTTCTATCGCTTTACGTTGATATTATACACCCTTGCTCGGTTTAACTCGCTTTGTATCAGCTTAACTTAATTTTAGTTAAAGCGAAGTAACATTTAATTGACTTTACAACTCAGCGCGACTCTGACTGTCGAGGAGCAAGCTAACCTGAGGCTAAGGTACCGTTAGCATGACACAACATCAAACGCAGCCGACTTTATCGCTGCTCAACACTTGTTTTTACCGTTTTTTTAACAGTTAAGAGTCACCCACATAGGATAAACTCGCTGGCATTAACTTTATTTTCACCCGGGCTTGATGAATGAAGCCAGGTAGCTTAAATGAAGTGCTTACGTTACCTGTCAGACTAGCCACCTGTTGAGCCTGTCTGTGTACCGCAAGGCAGGTTAGCTAATCCGCCACTCACCGTTAATCCTGCACGGCACGGGACGAGAGCAAACCTTTTCTGTTGTATTTAAGGCCATTTACGGTGGTTTTATCACCAACTGTTGTAAATAATTTGACCTTTTAAACAGAGCGAATATACGACAGCTTCCTGATAAGGCAACACGTGAAATTCGTTACCACAGTAAGGTGACATAAATCTGCTGTATGGCAGGTTCAGTGTCAAATAGGTCTATTGACATCCAGTACTATTATCCCTGTTGTAATGTTGATTTACATAAACAGTAACATTCACGTACTTACTGTCAAAACTTGCATAGAGTTTAACACGCTCTCAATACAATTAAAACATAAAGAGCAGCGCATAAGCAGTTTTTCTGGCAGGGTCAGTGTGTTGGATTGCATTAGATTGTACAGCTCATCATCTTTTCGTGCCAACCCCCGGTATCTTCTATAGAGCTGAAATAAATATTTGTTTGACAGAAAATGAATCAGCAACTGTTTTTATAATTGATTGGCAGTTTCTGCTTTTTTTTTCTCAAGCAGAAATGCCATTCACGCTCTGGTTCTAGCTCCTCCAATAAGAGGATTTGCTGCCTTTCTTTGTTGTATTTCATAGGATTTTTTGTTGGTCTTTGAGTTTGTTTTCCCTCTGATGATCACTGACTGGAGGATATACTGTAGTTCACTGACTATTTGACTTTAACCCTACATCACTGACTTAGTAACCTAAATAAACTCACCGTCATCTGTTCTTGTCAAGCCAGTAATGCTCCCAAGTATTTCCCATGTGTGGTCAAATATTTGCAGGTTTCACAATATAGACCGAGATTAGCTTGTCGGCTCCTTGATACTCAGCGTGACGGCTTGCGTGATATCAAAGGGGGAAAATCATAAAAAGGTCAGATTACATTTGAACACTGTAGTTGTTTAGATCCAGTGTTTCTGTCCTCCATTATGGCAACTACACTTATCTTAACTGAACAAGTACATAGTTAGATACGGTGGAAGGACAAATGCCTCAACCCAGTGTGTTATCTGAGATAATCATAATAAAAATATTTCTATGTCATCCTAGAACAGTTAGATAACAAAACAAATGACTCCAGCTGTTCTTTAAAGGTCAAGTTGTATTTGCTAAGGTTTGGCTTTCTGTTACATTCCTTCTCTTGTGCATAAACAACCCCCTTTTTTATCAGTCTTATTTTATCTGAGGCATTTCTTTACCGTCGCGTGCGTTTGTTTAAATGTGAAAGATTCTGAAGGTGCATGGCATATAGTCCATCTCATCCTGTGGGAACCATATAAAGATTCTTTATCCCTGTTTTTCCCGTCACCTCTGTGCCTGCGTGATACGACCCTACTCCCTGCAGTCAGAGGAGTTAAAGTAGGCTAGTCTGTCTGTCTCCTCCCCATCCTTCCTCCTCCTCATCTGTCTCCTTCGGGTTTTTTTCCTCCACATCCTCTTGCCCTCTCATTCCACATCCTGTCCTCCAGAGAAAGCAGGGACTCCTTTTCTGTTTGTCTATATGTATCACCAAAATTCTCCAAATCTGCCGCCATCATACATGCACACACTCTCTGTTTTTTCCCATGGCCTTTTGCTCTCCTTGATCTGGCTGCTCTATGGCATTACTTAGTGATTATATGGAGCAGCTCAAACCACTACATATGACAGGACTTAACATGTGCCCACCTCTTCTCAAGTGGACACCCCCGCCATTCCCCACCCCTGCTCTATTTTGCAGTCATTCTTGTTCAGTCCATCCTTCAAGGGCTGCAGCTAAGGTCCAGATTATTTTCTGGATTCCCTTATTAATAGTTGTTTTGGTTTTTTTTGAATGTCAGAGTAAAACAAAGTAGACAAACTCTACTTTTATTCTAAATTCATTTTAAGTTGCACAGCAGCAGAAAGAAACAACCTTTCTGAATATTAGGCAGGCAGATTAAGCCACTTGGCATTGGTTCAGATAGCAGGCGGGATCATTCCCGAATCATCAAGCTACATTGACTCAGCATTGTTTGTTTCAATGAACAGGAAGGTCCTGCAGGTCACAACAAACGGCACACAGGGCTGGTGGTCGTACACAACAGCTGAGCGATGTCAAACCATGACTGGAGCATGTAGCACCGTTTGCCTGTTTCCAGTGTAGGCAGGTTTAAGGCTGAGCAGGAGTTTTGGCTGTGTGTCCTGTTGTGTTGCTGTAAGTTCAGTCACAAGCTTGTATACTTAGGTAGCACCCACTTGATGAATGTATGAGTGTGTGTGTGTGTGTGTGTGTGTGTGTATTCATAGTGGTCTATTCATTCCAGCTGTTGAATGGATGTTTATGTTCAGTGGCTGTAGACAGCCCTTCCTGTTGGGTCATTAGGTGGAAAAAGTCAGAAGTCTACAAATGTCAGATTGAAGCAGGGACATTTTTCCGAACATGCAACATGTTTAGCGTACTTCCCTGTGTCTGTGTGTCTGTGTGCTGCCATGCCAGAGTTTGTATAATATCAGTGATCTCACCTCGTCTTCTCCCATCTGTCTGGGCTTTGCCTGACTCAGGGAATCACAAGACTCTTACACAGTTTAGCCACCGACAAATTCCCCATTTGTGCTGGGACTTATTTTATAAAGGGACAAAACTAGGAGAGGCTAATGAAATGCTAGCTTAAGTTGCTGCATCCACTGATAGCAAAGCAGTTCCCAACTAGGCTAGTCTTTGTTTCGTACACAGATGAATGAGGTAAGACATAATCATTTGTTATCTTTATATATGGGCATATAAGTATATGTGGTAGGTCAGTTGGTTTGTTAATAATAAATTTGGACTTTTTGTTGGTCTTGTTGGAGTAGAAGTTGCCATTTCTGCCTCATCTGTGAGAGATTTCTCCTTGTTTAATTGCTGAATATTTTGGGGCAAAATGACGGCTTTAGAAATGAAAATTGTGCTTTTGGATTCTGAGCAGCTGAGTTCAAACTTAAAAAAAAATATATATATTTTTTTAAATCTCAAGTATTTTAACATGACATGGTGTTGTCTCCCTTTGACCTGAATGCACTGCAGCGCAAACCAATGGCTGTTTCTCTCTCTCTTTCTGTGAGTGAGCAGTGCAGCAGGCTGAGACTGACTGAGCTGCGAGTTATCAGACAAGACGGCTATCTCACAATGAGAGGATCCTGAAGTGTTTTTTGTTTTTTCACCACACCCTGGCTTTTACTTTGTTTAGTTACGTCCAAATAATGGCCCTAAACTACACCTTCCAGGAGGCTGCTCTCGGACTTGTCTCTTAGCTCTAAAGCATATACTGGACTGAAAGGCTGTAGTTAAGTCAGAGTAAAATTTTTAAATAAGATCCCATGGCACTTTTGATGTAAACACTTGTGTTAAGTATTGGTTTACACAAAGACCCGGGGAGGAGAGAGAACGGAGGAGTGGTGACTGGCATTCACTTGTACAAGGCTCCTACGCACAGCAGGAGTGTGTAACGAGTTATGTGGATACACACCCATCACCCCCAACTTCTGCATATTGCCTGTTAGTTCCCTTTTTCATATATTTATTGAGTTGCAGTCTAATAATTATGGAACAGGCACAAGCATTTCTCTAATGCTCTTTTAATAACACACACGACTGCACTGTAGAACTTCCTCAGTCCACTTTTGAAATAGCTTGACCATCGAGCGAACACATCAATGCATCTGGCTTGTCCTCTATGATATGCACAATTTGTTATGTACTCGTAGCTTGCTGACATTGTGAAATGTTGTACTAGTAATTGTGTTGTTAATGTAAAATATTTAGCTCAGCTCAGTTTTTGGCCTATGGGGAGATAAAGCATTACTGTTCACACTGCTAAAAGCTTTTACAAAATATTTGATATCTTTCTTCATGTTTGGGACTTGGAATATATTTAGGTAATATTGTGTGTAAGAATTTAATTTGGCAATTCTAGGTAAAATACCTTTCCTCTCTGCTACAGTGTGTGAAAGCAGAGCTGGGGCTTGTACTACAAAGCAAGGATGTCTTTTTGTTATCTGGCTTCATTAACCCTAACAGTCGCGATCAGGATTAGTGGTTACACGAAGCTGGTTATCCAGCCGTGAGCACATTCAGATAAAACGGGCGGTGTTTGCAGCAGATGACCAATCACAAAGGACAAGTCTACTGGCAGCAGAGTAGCATATTTTAAAAACGAAGAGAAATTTTTTATATAAGACAAATACGACATAGTTAAACACACAATCCAGGCTGTAAGCAACACAGCTGCAGCTGCCACATGCAGGAAGACAAGTGTGAATGCCTAAATTCACAAGCTCGGCTGTGTGTCGGTGTTTCCACACTAAAAGCCACAGGCACTGAATAAGTGGCCGTTCTGCTCACTTTTGAGAATTTTTCGTCTCCTAAAAAATCTGATTAATTTATTTAACACACCTAACATAAGAAAAATGAAATCCATTTATTTTACTGCCTGCCACAGGCTGTGTGAAACAGAGCAAATAAAAAACACATTTCAAAGGGGTGAGACGGCTTATTGTCATATCTTAAAAGTACAATACGTACAAGGCTTTAGTACGTCAGTTAGTCTCTGAAAGATGATATCGCTATACAAAAGTTTCTCCCCACAGCAAACATAAAAGCAGCCTATAAAACAGTCTGTGCGATCTCCTGCGTTGATCTCTTACCTCCAACATAACCATTTAGCCTTTCAACCCAAGTTACCATGGCGATGTACGAAGAGAACCACTGTTGTAGGACTGAAAACCCAGGGTTAAACCTGAAGTTACCTCGCTAAGCTAAAATCCTGCTTCGTAGCACAGGCCTATGGTGTTCTTTTAGTGAAGTTTTTTATGGGAATGTAGTATGGAAGTCAAGAGAAATCCAGCCAGGAAAAACAGTAGCCTGGTTTTAGGATCGGGAGGACCTGACTGCTAAACAACACATAAGTAATGTTTATTTGGACTTGTGTTCTTGGTGGGACATGATGTGTCTCTTGTGTGTGACTAGGCAGACTCGAGTAAACATCATACTGTCTGAGCTTCTGCCTCAGCTCCATTCCCCCGCGATACCCCTCACTGATTGGCTTTGTCTGGCTCGCTCTGCCAAGACAGGTAATTGGGAAACATTTATGTGTGTGTGTGTGTGTGTGTGTGTGTGTGTGTACATGTAAATATATTATGAGTGGGACACTGACAGGATCTCTTTGTGACTTTGCATGTATCCATAGTTTGTGTCAAAGTTGGCTGATGTGTAAGTGTGCGTGCGTCAACAGCTTTTTCCCCCCCTTTTATTTTTTTTTTAAATCTCGTGTTGTGTCGTGAGTAAGCCTAATTACTATTTCCACTTAGCTAACCACTGACCCATCAAATGATTTTATTGACCCACATTCTGCAAGGCTGATCGCTCGTGTAATATACTCAACAGGTTATGATCTACCTTAGCTTGCTGATGAGGCCTCCATGAGGTCTATTGCAGTTTGTTAAGAAAAACTTAAAGTCTTTTAAAGTAGTATTTTACCTGTTATCGGGCAGAAGCTTGAGTTCTTGATGATATTATCGTCAGTCAAGTGAGTGTAGACTAAGACTTAAGTTTTAAAGATGATATTTGATAGGCAGAAAAGGTCTGTGTTGGCTATTCCGGTGCTTTCAACATGGGCTAGAAGTGGGTTGACATGTAAATAAAACTACACATAAGTAGTAACATTTCCATTAACATCTTTAAAAAAGCGATGTAATCCCTTTCATCTTTACAGATGTTAGATTTACAGCTAAGTGTACATGGTAGGAGGCTCAGCACTATCAAGTCAGCACAGATCCCACGGTCAGGTGAGGCACCATGTTCTTCTGGGTGAGGGTGGCAACACGATAAACCGGTTTTATTGTCATGATCACGTGATCAGGGACTGGTGCTAAAAGAAAAATAGATGGAGACAATGGGAGACATATTAGTAACATGCTCAGTATGTGGCCCACACTGTTGCTTTATACATGAATGTGAGTTTGGAGTGAAGTTATTTTAGATTTAGATTTGATTGAATTTACTAAAACAGAACGGCACTGATTTCCAGCCTGCATTGTTGCAATGCTAGGTGATATTACAAATCAAAGAAAGGTAATATTACTAATCCAAATTAGGCACACTATGTTGGTGGCCATCAAACTATAGGCATGTATGTTTCAAATGTCTGGCTGAAAGAACATTTAACACTGCTCATTTGTCATAGCCTATTCAGGAAACTTCTGAAACAATAATGGACTCAAGTCAAACAATATAATGAACATCAGAAGCATCTTGTTTGCAAAAATGTAAACATTGATTAAGTAAGCTTCTGATTTGCACAACTGGAACAAACGTGCAGAGCAACAGCTCTCGAATGACGCAGCTGCATTGGGACATGCAGATGGCCAAATCTCTTTTTCTCTGGTTTATGTCACGGCCCCTTTTAGAATTTGACCTCTAATCAAACCAATTTTTGATTTACTAATAAAGTCTGGTGTGGGCAATAACAAAAAATTAGTCAAATACAGCAAGTTAGTTTCAGTTTGTGAGCCACACAATAGTATTGTTTAAGATTGGGATCATTAGCCCACTGATCTTTCAGATTGTGTCTGGCATTACTCCACTAATACAGCGGTTGAGTTCTTGCAAGGATTTTCCCTTCTTCTCCAGTCCTCCCTCCTTTCAAAGCCCCTTAAAATACCACAAAACATTCTCGCCTTTTTCATTTGTTAACTGTGGTAGAAAATGCTGACCAAAAGCAAGTTTAGGCTACTAACTATATGTCTGAGTCTTAATGATAATTAACTTTATTGGCCACATACAATTTATTCTCTGCATTTAACACATCCTAAATTAGGAGCAGGCATTGTGAAGCACCCGCGGAGCAGTTAGGGGTTCAGGTCCTTGCTCTGGCAACCCTTTGGGTCCCAAGCAAAGTCCTCCAAAGATTGAGCTAATGCCCTTGTTCATCAAGGGTTTTGTCATATAAAAAGTTTGTTTCCTCTTGACCTTTTTAACCATGGACGTTTGGACACCATGGCCTTTTCCTGTTTGAGGAAGACAAGGTTAATAAATGAACCCAACATTCATCGTTCATGTCTCGATCCGTGTTCATGCGTGTGGTGTTTGAATGAATGATCCTTGTAGTGGCCTGCCACTCTATGGGGGCGAGTTAAGCTGTTACCTCAGTCTAAGGAAATCCTTACATTGTAGCTTGTGACAAAGGGTGAGAGGTTAGGTATCCTAAAAATAGAAGGAAGGAGCAAATGACAAAAGTATGTCTATCCCCAAAGCAAGAACTATTGGGACTTTAGTTGGACAGGTAAAAGGCTTTTCTCTACTTTGTCTGCTGCAGACACTGTTACTCTTCAAGTAGCAGAAGTGTGTCATATCTGATACTACTACTACTTTTAAATAAGTCATCATTTATAAAGGATGAATGCATTGTAAGAAATTACTTTATTAATTGTTAATAACTCCTGCATTAATGCTTTATATATCTGTTGTAAGTAGATTAATCAGTCTCATCCTTAGGGATGGGTAACAAGTAGCGATACCTTTTTAAGGTATCGACTGAAACAGCCCAGTATCGAGTAGTTTCGACACATCTCCAGTCAAATCAGTACTTCATTCGATACTTTTTGTAAGCAGATCACAGCAAAATATGACTGTATGGTTTTGTTTGCAGCCAAACACGCAAGCAACACACCAAAGGAAAGCGAAGAGCACACCTTTTTACCCTTCTGTGCCTTGCAAGTCCATGCAAGATTTTAACGGCCCCTAACAGGCTTGGCTTTCCGTTGGTTTCATCTTCTGGTATCATTTAAAACTACTTTTTATTTGCTATTCACATCACTTGTCACTGATCGATCATTGCGTTCCACCATATCAATTAAAGCTTTTTTCAAACACCAGTCACGTTCTCAAATCTACAGCAGAACCCAATTATATTTTTGTATTTCATTAATTATTAACACGTTACTGGCTAAGATAACCATGTACACTGCAAGGAATGATGGAATTATACATGACTTTTCTTTGTTTTGGTATTGGCATCATATATCAAGCATCAGCCTCTCTCCTCTTTAAATATCGGCATCGGTCATTGAAAAACCCGCCTAAATAACGGGGTTTTGGGGTTCCTGGATTATTCATCCTCCTTCATCAGGACACTTGATTTATCTTTTTTGATTATTTAGTTCACCAGGTAAACACTTTAATTGACCTCACCTTTCGGAAAAACCTGAACTGAAGTAAACAGCCTATTAACATTTATTACTTTTTAGACGTTATAGCTTATTGGAAAGTGAAACATTTAATAGATTTATAGCTGCATTCTTACCAAACAGAAAGGATTAACACCAGCCAAAGGGAATCGTCAGAACAAGGCAACCCAAAATATTCAATTATTAATAGTTTATAACTGATTTATAAACCATTAGTAACTTATTTATTAACGATAACTTTAAACTTTTTTTCATAAAGGGTTCTATTAAAAAGTGGTACCTACCAATTTTATATACTTGCCGCCCTGTTTACATCACCATCCAGTTCAATTATCCATCCACCAAACAGTGTAGCTGTAAAGTTGAATTCCACCTGGTCACATTTGGATGCTGGTTGATGTAGTTGGGTCTAAAAACCTTTTAAAAAGCTACTTTCCTCAATAACTACAGCAAGTTCCATGTGATTTAGTTTTTTATCAGGCTAGACCAGTAAATCATATTGTTTGTTGAGAAATTAAATATGATTTCTGGAAAAAAATAATAAAGCGTTAAACCTGTTGCTGTTACCTCATTGGGATAAAAACCAAAGAGGAACTTCGTATAACCCGGTTATTATGAATCACCAGGCGTCTAATCCGCTGATTTCACCGAGCTCTGTGGTCTTTCCACCTCCCATCCTGTCGGGTAGTTGCTGCAGTGGTTCTGAGGCCCAGGGCTACGGTCTTGTCAGTCACACTCTCTATCTCACTGAGTGCCTCTAGTTGACCTTCCTCTCAGCGCTCACAGGCACAAGCGTAAATAATAAATGAGTAGCCTGGAGAGATCCGAGTGTGTGTGTGTGTGTGTTGGGTATGTGTGTGAACCACCTGGGAAGTTAACGAAAGGTAATGAGAGCGATCTTGGTGACCAAGGTTGTCAGGGTTGGTACTTGCACTGAAACCTGTCACAAACCAGCTATTTAAACGCATACCAACAACATCCCTCTTTCAGTCTCAGCCCTGCGTGCATGCCGATGGCAGCTAAGTGTGTGTCGGGCTGCAAGTTGTGTCAATCATTAATGAAAAGCGTCCCACCGGCTCAGGTTTCCTCCGGGAGAGGAGGGAGTAAGGGAAAGGAGCTCAGGGGTTAAAGATAACAGGATTAGGGGAGCAGCGTGTGTACATTATACTGTAACGCAGCACTTACATTTTCTCTCCCTGCCTTTTTCCCCTTCTCTGTCCCTGCCCACAGCTGCAGACAGAAGACAATGTCGTTGAGGAACGAGTCATTGAGACTTTCGTACCCAGCTTTCTTCTGCTGAAGACCTGCCAAAAAGTGCACCAACAACAACTCACTCCACTCACAACCAAGGGATATTTGAATCCTGTTGCTGTTTGCATAAACTAAAGTAGACCTTGTTGGATTCCTGCAAATGCACCTTTTTATTGTCATTGCTTAAGCTTCCCAGTTCCTCCTACCTTGTGGATTTGTTGTTCCCTGCCACTATATTCTCACTATGGATTCTCAAAGACCTGCGCCTCTGTTGGATCCAAGTCTTCAACACAGTCACCACCAACACTTCGGATTAGAAGCTCAGGAGGAGGGTCTAACCTGGGGGGTAGTTTGACTCTGCCTTTCTAGCACTAGTGTCTTTTCTCTCTCTGTCTGTCTTTCCCCCTGTGGAGTATTGGCCCAGCTACCCAAAGTTGATATGGATGGGAGGACTGACGGTTGGTTACAATCCACAGCTTGGATGATTATGTTGTGGACTTCTTTCGCTCGCCTTTTTTCCACAGCACCATAAGAGTTATCATCTGAAAGATGGGAAAGAGACATTGCAACTATTCTACGTGTTGCTTACTTCTGAAGTCATGGCGATATCTCCCACCTGATCATACAACATAAGTTGTGTTGTGTTCTTTCTTTCTTTCATTCTTTTTTTCATGAAAATATATTCGTACAGATAAACTGCAGCATCTTTTTGTGCTTAACTGCAGGCCCTAACGTAGGCCTGTTTGGCCTCACAGAAGGGCCTCTTTAAGAGGCACAAGGGGGGCACGTAAGAAATTTGGCATGGCAGCAGATCACGGCGAGCTGCTGGCTGAGATGGCCACGATCGGGCGTCTGAGTGCCACAGAGCGCCTAAAACACGCCCAGAAGCGTCGTGCTCAGCAGCTGAAGGGCTGGGCGCAGATGGAGAAGGATGCAACACGAGGGTCAAGGGCCAAAGCAGACAAGAAGAAGCCACGCACAACCAAAATTAAATTTCCAAATGCCATCACCCTGCTAGATGCATCTGCACGCAATGACTTGGAGGAGGGTTGGTACTAACACGCACGCACACACACACGCACACACACGCGCACACACTCCTAGGGCAAAGTCATGTTAGAGAGCCTCAAATTGTATGTACCAAAGAGCTTTAGAACTACTCTTTTATTAAAGCATATCATATTATGCTCATTTTCAGGTTCAAAATCTTATTTAGGTGTTGTACCAGAACAGCTTTGCATGGTTTCATTTTCAAAAAACACCAAATTGTTTGTCATACTACACATTGCTGCAGCTCCTGTTTTTCACCCTGTGTGTTTAATGCTTTTTTATGGAGTTATGGAGTGATACATCTTACCTCTACAAGATCTTTGTTGGGAGTTGCACATGTGCAGTTCCTAGTTAAGGACTAATAGCCAATTAGAAGCAGAGTAGGCCAGGTCGTGAGAAGCCGGTAAACACACCTTCGGTTCAGCTGTATATCCCCTTACCTGCTGGGTACACACCAAAAGATAATCAGGCTGATTTTGGGCTGATTTTGGGCCGATTTCCCCCCTCCTGACAATCCTAGCTATGTCCCGATTATCTTGATGGTTCTACAGATTATTTTATCAGATTATCTCTTGGTGTGAGGTGTTTTAAGAGTGTCCGAACCTGATCGGAAGAACGTCGGAGGCGCCCCGATCGCGAATCGTAAATATTGTGAATATTTACGATCAGAAATCCTGATGTGTGGGGGGATCCCCGAGGACAAACGCGCGCTCTGTTCTGGAGATTATCACATGAAACGAAACAATATCCAATCAGAAAGCGAGATGATTGAAGACGGAAGCATAAGACACACAGTCATGGCAACAGCACGAATGTTTGTTCAATGTCGCAATTTCTTCCTGCATATCGCTCGCCATGCTTATTCTGAAGTCTCGCGAGATTTCCTGTGTTTAGTCTAGACTCGGGTTGAAAATCTGTTTGTGTGTGGTGTGCTGTCTTTGTCACATCATGGCACACCACACACTATAGGAGCAAAACGGTTAAATCTAGGGTTTTTTCTCCTCATGTTTGTGGTCTATCACATTTTGAAAATCTTATAGAAGCAACATGGACTGGAGCAAGAGTTTCAGAGTGGTGAGTTTTTAATCTGTAACAAATGTATCTTTCATCCATAAAGTTATAACTGAGCTCTGTCTACATCACAGTAACAACTTTATGTCCATTGGCTGCCTGGAGGGTAGCTAATGTCTTGTCACTGTGTGCTACAGCTCAGCTCAGTTTTTTTCACTGGTGTTTTTAGGCTTTTTCGCTTTGCAAACCTATTACATGACCAAAAAAGGTATATAACTCAACGAAGGAGAGGGGGAAAAAGCCAACAAGCATAATATGACCTCTTTAATTTAGAAGTAAATCAGTGAAGCATTAGTATTTGACTTGCCTTTCTTGAGACATCAGCATTTATCAGCCAGTGGCATGTTACTTTGTAAAACACACAATTCAAAGGAAGCAGTTCATGCATAATTTATACATGATACGTCACACTTTATTGTGATAGTCAAGGCATTTTGTTTTCAGTGGTATTGTCAGCAGCAGGGTCAAGGCTAATTATAGTGGCAGTAGCAACACACAGACACTGAGTATCGTTTCTTATATCTATTTAGGGCAAATGGATATGTGCCAAGTGTTTAGCTGAGAAGGACTCTGCCCAGGTACCCAGTCATAATGCTGTATGTCTGCTTCTTTTAGTGAGGGAGCTGCTAAACGGCGGCGTCAGCCCAGATCTAGTCAACGAGGATGGACTGACAGCCCTACATCAGGTACCAACACAAACACCTAGTTGTGGGAGTCACCAGGGCAGTGATCTCACCGGCTTCCCACATTGACACTTTCAGTTGTGTTTCCTGGAATGCACAACCAAGCCAGACATATGGTGACAGGAAATCAAGCTCTAGTTCACTTAAACATTTGCCCTTGTGCCACCTGCGTTGCCTAATTATTATTTTACGTTCATGTAGCACATCCTCATTCACAGCATATCTGAAATCAGCTAAACGCCAACATGTGGCAGATTTGGCATAATCAAAATGCCCCATACACTTAAATGGCCTTAAGTTTACATGAACACACTGATTGAAGGAATCAGTATTTTCATGTAAACCATTCTGACTGTTTTAGTTTCAGTGTTTTGAGAAGTGAGGGCAAACTGTTTTGACATACATTCCTTTCCGGTTAGTCAGATTTAGAAGAAGCTATCATAAGATTCCTGTTATTTTGGGACCTTGAAGCACACAAATCTAAAGCTACTTTACAATCCAAACGGATACTTTCTCTCCCTTCCTGCCCTCTGTGTTGTTAATTACTCTTCATAACTTCATACATACCCACACTACTATAAATTCATGAGAGGGTTATTTGTGAGCACAGAGAACTCCTTAAAAAAGCAGTTCACTCTGCGTTCCCCTGGAAGTGTTTTACACAGCGGATGGCTGAATGCAAATGTGCATGCAAATGTTTTCTATTTCACCAGAAAAAAATAGTATGGTATAATAGTATATGTATAATAGTATAATAGTATATGTTTTTAAGCATTGCTTTTACAAATCTACATCTGGTCTCTCCTCAGTGCTGCATTGATGACTTTGTGGAGATAGTGCAGTGCCTGCTGGATGCTGGTGCCTGTGTGAATGCCTGTGACAGTGAGCTGTGGACACCGCTGCATGCTGCTGCCACCTGTGGGCACACTGGACTGGTGCAGCTCCTGATTCAGGCGTGAGTTTTCCCATGAATTTCGTACTTTTGCTCAGTTTCAGCCCCACATTTATGCATTTATACCATAGAAAGTTTTTTTTCTTTCATATCAGTAAACAAAAAATCTAAATGTATTAATTAATAAGCTGATATATTGTGGACATGTGTCTCAACTGTATTAGGATAAATGTTGCTTTATCCTTCTTAGAGAGAGTACCTAGTTTACATAAACAATGCAAATAATCTTGTCTTGCATGTCTTTGCATACGGGTGCATGTGTGTTTGTGTGTATGCTTCTAGTGGGGCTGACCTGCTGGCAGTTAATGCGGATGGCAATATGCCCTATGACCTCTGTGAGGATGAGGCCACCCTTGAGCTGCTGGAGATGGTTATGGCTGAACAGGGTCAGTAAGAAACTGTCAGAAACTGTTGTAGTTTCTTTAATAGCATGTTTTTGAAAGTTGTTTAGCCTTCCTCTTCAACAGGTCCCAGAAGAAAAATGTTTCATACAAGCTTAACGCATCTCTCTTATTTGAAATCAGGTGGCACTCACTAATGACCCAGTGCCAAACCAAAATCAAAACAAAAGTCTTTGAGTGCTGGTAGAGTCTGTGTGCTAACTGGAATCATTGGTTCTGCCCCCCCTTCCCCCCCGTGTGTAGGGATAACTCAGGACCGTATAGATGAATGTCGAGGGGCTAAAGAGGCGGCCATGCTGGCTGACATTCAGGGTCTGGTTCAGAACGGAGCAGATTTAAACGCTCAGGATGATAATGGAGCAACACTGGTGAGACAGAGGGACACGACTGTATAGATAAAGAACATTAAAGTTATAAATTAGGATGTGGCAGGCCAGAGATTTTAACTATATTTGTGACCTCATGGTGCATTCACAGTTATAGAACATACAATTTCTTTTTAATAACCAACCAAAATAATAAAGCTCTGCCAAGAAATTAAAATCTAAGTATAAATATTTTTTTCTGCCAAAGGAAACTTAAGTTGCACTCTAAAAATTTGAAGTGCATCACTCGACCAACATTTTAATGATTAATGTTGATCATCTCTCCCAGCTCCATATAGCATCTGCTAACGGCTACATGTCTGTGGCCGAACTGTTGCTAGAGCACAGGGCTCAGGTGGAGGTTAAGGACTCTGATGGCTGGACGCCACTACACGCCGCCTCCTGCTGGGGACATGTAAGTGCTGCATACAAACCAAAACACAAGAACCTTCCACTTTTCTTAAATGACCCATTAATAGTGGTGTTTTTATTTGTTCCATAGATCCAAATGGTTGAATTGTTGGTGGCCCATGGTGCAAGTTTAAACACAAAGTCTGTTCTGGAGGAGACGCCTCTGGGTAAGACCAGAAAGTCTTTTTGATCCTGTTATTGACTCAGGAAAATAATATAAATGACAGTACCTTTCACCTTTAATGATGTAATGCTAAGTCCCTGCTACAAGTTTAATAATAGCTGTGGATTAAAGAGGAACTAACTATCCTGATGCCACAGCTCTCTTGTTAGCATCTTTCCTCTCCTACCTTCCGGTGTCTAACCTTTTGCTGCTACTGCCTTTTCAGATGTATGTATGGATGAAGAGGTCAGAGCCAAACTGATGGACCTGAAGCACAAACATGATGCCATCATGAAGAGCCAGGACCGCCAGAAGGGCACACTGCAAAGACGGGCCTCTAGTACAGGAAGCAGAGGGTGAGAGGGGACGTGAGGTGGGGGATAAAGAGAGCTCAGGGGAGCCAGAGGGCGGGAAAGAATCACAACAAGTTCAGTCCTTTACGGTTACCCTTTCTCGTTTGTCTATACAGTAAGGTGGTACGTCGCGTTAGTGTGAACGAGCGCTCCAGTCTGTACCGGCGGGAGCACCACAAAGAGGCCATGGTGTGGCAGGAGCGCGGCCGGCAACCAGAGCCACAGGACGACGATGAGGACAGACAAACGGACAATGAGCTGCACCAGCATGCCACTATAGTGAGTGAGCTCAGTGTTTTAAAAGAAAATGTTGTCATTATTGCTTTTTGCCACAAGAGTTGAAGCTGATTAAACTAATGTGTTCTTTGTTGCCGCCAGATTGCTGGCGACGGAGCCGCGTCACGTTTAGAGCAACTGGAAGCTGTAGACAGGAATATTGTGTCCAGCCTGGGTAACGGGGGGACCTCGGTTTCTCTTGCCTCCTCTGTACCTGGCGAGCTGTGGAGTGGTGGAGGTCGCATGGATCGTAGCGCCTCCTACCAGCTCAGCCCCGCATCTGGAGCCGGGTTGGGGTCTGCAGAGGGCGAGGGGGCGGACAGTATGACACGGGAGAAATCACACCACACCCTGGCTGACCTAAAACGCCAGCGGGCAGCTGCCAAGCTCAATAAGTACCCAGCACCTCAGCCACCCCTGCCCCCCTCCTTAGAGGAGGAGCCTTCTGTGGCAGCAGCCGAGGCAACAACCACGCAGTCCCGACCAGAGCGCCAAATGACCCCCAACGCAGAGGAGGTGGCCTCCCCTAATCAGGTGTACTTCACCCCAGCCAGTGGAGATCCTCCGCTGCTGAAACTCAGAGCCCCTGAGGAGGACCCGCCTAACAATAAGGAGCCTTGCTGTGGACTCATGTAGACAGCCTGACAGAGTAGAGTAGAGAAGCTGGGAATGTTACGCTCTAAAGTGGCAAAAACCTTTCAAAACAGACATGTTTGAAATGAATCACTGAAGACTGTAAGTTACGGCCACATGCCAATGAGGGTTTGATCCACACTGCATTTCAGAGAGCTGAAGTGCAGTCTTTGTGCTTTATTTAAGCCTAACCATATTTTTTTGATAAACATGATGCACACTTTACACTAGCATTTCCTGTTGCTTCCTCTTCTTTGCTGCATATTTGCTGGACGTCAGGTGTCCATTTAGTGACTCAGAGGAGAATTACAGATTCCAGTGTTGTGGTCACAGGCAAAGATTTACTTTGCTCAGTCTTTGTTCGTTACTTTACTCATCACTTGCTATACTACTCAACTACCGTAGATTGACATTTCATTGAATAGCCTTTGAGTCGTGTAAAAGTTGAATTATCCATGAAAAGCTGAGTGAAATGTAATCTCAGGAGAGCTCAGATGATGATTTAAATAAAGAAAGGTTGAAGTTCTGTTTTCTTTACTGAGTGCTGTGACAGGTACGTGATCCACATTTGCATAGATTTAAATTATACACAAGATGTTTTTTGTCATTGGGAGATTGATCATGATAGTTACAGTATACACTATAGTTATTCTGAATTTACATTTGCACAAAGATCTAAAAAAGGACTGTTTCCTTGCTTGATTTTTATATTTTTTTCTGTGACAGAAAATATACTGAAGTTTCCAGTGCACAAAAAGCCTACATTTCAATATTGGTAACGCAACTTGTACTTTAAGTGTTTGTCTCTAAATGAATGTGAGCTAATCTGTATTTAAATCTATATTACTCAGTCCATCATTATCACTTCTAGATTTCTATTTTTCTGTCACTATTTCTATTTTTCTACCCTCTGAATGGAATCGCTTATTTATTCTGACACTGAATATGGCTTACAGTGTACAGGTCATCTACCCTTTTCTTTTTTTGTTTCTCTTTTTCTTTTTTTTAAAAGATAAAAGCATAAAGACATTTATCAAAAAGATGATATATCGTTTTATTGTCAAATCAAGTAAACTTGTAATACGATTATTTGTCAAAGGATGGTGCCTTCTTTAGGTGGCAGATTTGATATAGGCTTGCAATGCTTGCACAAAGTCCCACATGTAAATTAGTGAGCGGTGGGATACAATGATCTATCAGACATGGACTCCAACGTGATGTGACATCACGGCACTCTCATTTCTGTATTGCATTTCAGTTTTGCTCGATTTTTACTGAGCCCTGTTTAGAAAAACAAAATATAAAAACATGTTTTGACAAATGGTTTTTGTATATTTTTTTTTTATGGAAATGGTCTTATTTAATGAATCTTGGCATTATGACTGTCTCTGGGTATTATTTAAAGGGAGGGAATCAGATAAACATGTTTTGTAAAGAATTTTTGCAAATTTAAGTTTTTCAGGCTTTTTAGGGTCAGACAACGGCCTTATGGTTAGAGAAGGAGTCAAGACTCAAGACTTTTATCCCGCAGACTTGTTTCTCTGAAGTTGAGTATGTCTTCCTCTTGTGGTGAATTTGAGCAGTCGCACATTTTACACACTTGCCCGATATGTTTTCTCTTCCTGCGGCCCCTCACTTCCAGCACATCTCGAATGTCACGGCCCGTTCTGATCCATCTGCAATACATGATACACATAGTAAACAAACCAGTACACTCGAGTTTCAAGATAGATGTAGATAAAAGTTTATGAGCCCTTGTCTCAGCTTACTATAACATTACAAGTTGCAGCCTTTATGAACTTGCTCTAGTGGTGTTCCTTTAAGACGTGCACACACAGATTTTAAGACTGTCCAGGACATGTTGCTTGTGGTATCAGCTGTGTGTTAAAAATGGAACCTGCTTATGTTCATGCATGTGTTGACCGTGAGCCAAGGCTACTGAGACTGGTCCTGTAAATCTTCAAATGCTCATATTTGAGTAATTAGAGAGCTGTTTGAAAGTATTATCTATTACGTGATGTTGAGCTGTCTTTTTAAAAGTACGTATAGGCTGAATGGAACAGAGAGTGACGCTTGATGCTGCCAAAATATGTACTGCGTGACACACAAAAGTCACCGGGCCATCACATGCTTGTTTGGGATATCAAATGTCTTTCCCAAGAGCTTTCCAAGCCATCTGCGGGGTTTCTCTGTCTCTCACTTTGTCCTTCTCACACTCAGCCAGTTCTGTGGATAGCTTTCGCTTTCTCCTTCTCCAACAAAACACAGGCAAAGAGAGAGAGTTTTGCTTATCGGAGACTGCCTTCTTTGAAATCCTGCCCTCCTTGGCCCTTTAGTTAACTCTATAAGCGTTTCTTTTGGGGAAATGTGATTCCCATTGCTGTTCCCGGATGCAGGTTCAACATCCTTGTACGGACAGAGGCTGGTGTGACGTTATCTTACACCAACACTGTGTCACGTTCTGCCTGGTTTAATAAAGACCTGAGAGGGACTGTGCAACACACTAACTGCTGATCTCCGTCAGCCAAAACACCTTCATGAGCACAAGCACTATTTCTCAGTACCTGTAGCTTAACCTGAACCCCACCAGTCATCTTTGTGACCCCTGACCCCACCCACAAAGTGCAGCTGTACACAAAACACTATGAACGGGAAAATCATGAGAATGTGCATTAACTTTTGCAGTCCAAGGGTCTTTCTCTAAAATCTCCTTGTTCATAATGCAAGGCACATGACTGATTAAAGGCTCATGGACCATGACCCCTTGCAAGACCAACAAACCCAAGCAGTATTGTAAAATACACACCCTTATGTGACAAAGCCTTAAATGTAAAGCTTAGTGTTTGTGTTTATGAGACGTTCATTTACTCAAAGGCAACTTGGATCATTTTGCTGTAGAAGAGCCTCAAAACAGTAACACTAACTACTTTACTGTTTTGATTCAGTCACCACTCTCTTGAATCTTGTTTCCAGCTACAGCAGACAGAAAGTTAGCGGCCAGCTAGTGAACTTTGTGGATGAGCCTGTTTAGCAGGTTTGAAGTTTTGTTTGAATGCAGCTATTGTAATAATAGTTTTTATTTTTACTTTAGCTTATAAAATACCTCTTACACCACTACAAAACATTTGTAGGCTGTTCTGTTACTTACCCCCTCGGGTAACGTTTTTTTCCCGACAGCACGTGAAGGCGCCCAAGCCAAAGTCAGTGAAGAAATCCAGCCAACCATGAGCAGGCGCGAGCGAAGGCGGGGCGGCCGGGTGGGAATATGAACAGCGCGAGCTGTGAGTTGGAGCTCAGAGGAGCTGGAGGGAAAGTAAATCGCCTTGTAGATCAACTGGTAACAGCTGATAAGTTTTATCTGCTCGTGTACAGTTACCGTAACGGGATTTCTGTTCATTCTTGATATTTCTTCTTGACTGTCTTCTTCTGTGTTTCAGATATCAGTCAAGTGTCCAGCGCCGTGCGCGTGATAGTAAGAAAAAATGTCCCAGCAAGCGGTGAACGGGGGCCCGTGCCGGGGCAAGGTGCTGACTTTGGACAACATGAACCCCAATGTGAGGCGGGTTGAGTACGCGGTCCGTGGTCCCATAGTCCAGCGGGCGATGCAGATAGAAAAGGAGCTGAAAGAGGTAAAGTCAAGTCATGTTTGGGGGAGTGCAACGCGGACCGGAGTTTGATCATGCAGGAGGAAACAAAGAAAAGAGGGTTCATATTACAGTAGTGGTGACTGGGAATTTAGGTGAAGTTATGAAAAGTTGTTTTGTTAATTTTAATAATATCACTGTTGACGTTTTAATGTGACACCATATTTTGGGATTATTGCTTATATTCATGAGGGTAAAAGCGGTTATAGGCCTAGTAAATACAAATTGATAATGGTATGTAGCCTACAGCTGTTGAACCATTTCAACAGCTGTAGGCTACATACCATTATCCTCTCCCCCACACACGATTTCACAATTTGTATTTACTAGGCTTAAGCCCTATGCTTCAGCCAACAGCCATACAAGTCATTTTTGCCTAGAGCAGATTCTTTTATCTTTTGTTTCAGACACCTTTTGGAAATTCACCTGTTCTCAAAAAACACTGCAGCTCCTAAAAATATTAAAAGTGCCTCTCGGTGCATTTAGGGACACACCAGCTAATGTGGACAGTGAGCAAAATAAAAAGTTATTTCCTTGTCCTGTTTCCTGAAGATATGGTGAGAAATTGAAGAGAGAGGAAAGAGAAGTAGGTAGCCCATATGAATAAGCCTGCCTTGGACGGCGGCAGACAGGACATACACCGTAGGTCAGCTTTTACACTGCTTCTGCCAAACTGCAGCTCAAATCATATTCTGCTCTGGTGTCACTGTTCTTTAAGGAAGGACAAGGTTGAACAGGAGTATTTTAAAAGCCCTAATGCAACCCTCTCCTCTGCAGTAATCATCTTCAAAAGACACGGAATTAGCTAGAGGGGACAGGTCTAGCCGGCTTTTAGTACGTTTCGTTCTGTTCTAGCCTTTGGTGGAGTGTTAATATGTAAGACGAGAGGGTACATTACATTCTCAGTCCTCCTTTGTGTCCCTGGGTTTGCAAACCTCCCTCCTCCCCACAGACGAGAGTTCATTGGAGGGAACCGCAGCTGTGGGGCCCAGTTTATCTGCAAGGAGGGTCATTACAAGCAGCCCCAGTTCTGCCAAAAGTGCCCTAGTTCTTGGTAGTCCACTTGTTTTTCCTCACTTATAAAATGAGGAAAAAAAAACAAATCTAATGGTCAGTGTTTGACTGAGACAACAAGAATCATTTGCTGCAACTCTTGTTTATTTTGTTAGACAGGTCAAATCAAAAGACCAGAAGAGACAGAGAAATTTTATTAACATTAGTGTAGACAAACCTGCTTTATATGATATGCAAGTAGTGTGTTAGGTCAACATGACATGCTCCCATTTGTGTGTTGACAAGTGTTTTTCCTGAGAAAAGGATGTTCGGAAAAGCAAGTCTCCTCTTTCCTGTTTATTTTCACATGTTAAGCAAATTCATGCGAAAGCTGTGTGAAATCCAGGAGTTCTGAGCGGTCAGGAGGGTTTGCATCACTGCAGTTGCCCAGTCATTTGTGGGGTTGCTTCCTGTCAGATCTGTGACTGGAACACTTTTCCTGACGGCTCAGCAGATTTTATGCAAGTGTGTGTTTTTGTGCATGCAAGCGCTGGTGTGGCGATGACCCTTATAAATCCTTACCCAGACATCTGGCATGACCGTGCTCTCACTGCAGTAATCTAATTCAGGCTTGTTTGTTACATCACAGAAAATTTCTTATTCACCCCCCCCCCCCCCCCCCATACATTTCTTCTATTCCCCTCTTGAGTAAATTTGGAGGGTTGTTTTCATCTCAGTTATCATACTGTTAGAAATAGTACGGAATTTGATAAATCATGTGAGCGAAGCTGCTGCGGTTATCAGTTTGCTTTAGATAGAGCAGTTCCAATTACTCTAGCATGACTGAACGCTGTTAGAGGGACGCCAATTTCAGATTATATCATAAGACTAAGTGAAATGTGAATTAAGGCCAGGCTCCATTCAGGTCCGATGGCCCATGGCGTTTCTTGGCCTGGTTCACTGGTCCGTCCTGTGTAATAATCAGTGCCTGGTGCTGAGTGAGCAGGAGAACGCAGCGCTGAGCCAGGGGGAACCGACTGGCTCCTCTCTTTCTCCGAGAACAGCAGCCTCTTTGTTGCTCGAGAAGGAGGCATGGACTTAGACTTAAAAGGGGACGTGATGCTTCCAGTTATTTAGATTTCAAAAAAGCTCCCATCGGACTTAACGCCAACCCAAAGAACCTTGTAGGCCTCACAAGGACATAGCAATGATAATATTGACTCAAAAGGATCCTGTGCCCTTGGAGGCCTTTTCCCTGGTATTTGTTCATGTAGAACATGCTTGATAATGACAAGGATGTGTGTTTAATCTATTATATAACATATTGCATTGTAGTGCATGAGTGTATTCATGTTATGTAGAGATTCAGTGTGACAAAGGAAAACCAAAAGTGTTTTATTGGTTTGCTGTTCGAACTCTCCAGAGTGGCATTGAAGACATGATGATAAATGGCTGGCCTGTGTAGTATTATGGAGTGTATTACCACTCCATAGTCCACTTATATTAAGAATGGGAAATGTTGTGAAGTGGCTATAAGCCTCCGTGTGACTACAGTTCTGTTGTAATGAGAGCACCAGCTTTCTGCTGGTATACCTTAATGAAAAGATAATAGCAATTTGATAACCACCAAGACATGTTGGCATCCACCCATCTTTCTAAGGTAGGTTTTGGCAAAGAGCGTTAT